TTTCTGGTGCTTTCACTTCCAGAGACAGTTGTAAGCACTGTGTAACTGCCTCGAGGGTGCTTGAGCACGTACTCGTAAGGTGGTGGGGAACAAATCAACCTTCGCGGATTCTGCACGGAGGGCACTACTGTAGATCACGACCTGCAACGGTCACCACATGATGAGTTTACGGGTGATACCACGACGAACACACAACAGGACGCCGTAATTTGCTCGAAAATGACATTGGTGCATCATGTAACTGTGCGAAATCCCCTTGCGCGTGTGAGGAATGTTCGTCTCACCAGCTTCACAGGTACCCCACGATCGCCCGGAATACGTCTTCCCCAGGCAGCGTCAGCACCTTGAACACTACATTAGCCCAGCCGTCACCGAAGCCCTCCTCCACCATCGTGTCATCCAGGCAGCATGTTGTCTCTTACCTTGGGACCTTAGCCTCGTTGTGAGTCGTCCGTGCTGCGTCGACAAGGGTGCTGCTGCTGTCCAGTCTCGGCGGCACCCTTTCGGGATAGGCACGGCATAGGAGAAGGAAGCCCCGGCGACGCCATGCTCTGTCGGCCGGCGCGTTGCGTAGCAACTTGTAGACGCGTTCAGCATCCCCGGGGTACAAGCAAGACCACCAAGATTTCTTGAGCAATCCCGCCGCATTTTTCTTCCTCTTGTCTACGATTGTCTCATGCGCGCCTAACCTCAGCAACAGGTCTACCACCGCCGAGGTTCTTCGTGCTTCACCGGCGACAGATTATGCGTGGTGCAGCGGTGTTTGGTCGACAACGTCGCGGGCGTTGATGTTCGCACCACGCTTCGAGAGAGCAACCACGGCTTGGTCACGAAGCATGTGACAAGCAAGATGCAGAGGTGTACAGCCAATTTGATTAGATGCTTCGATGTTGGCCCCCATGTCGACGAGCGCATCGATCACCTCCGCTCGATTAAACTGTGCCGCAACGTGAAGGGCCATATCGCGGTCATTGTCAACAGCCGTCACATCCGCTCCATTCTTGACAAGCGCTCTCAAGATGTCCACATCACCCTTTTCAGCCGCCAGGCTCAGCACCGTTCTCTTTGACAGACCGCATCGCACGTTGATTTCGGCACCAGCCGCCATGAGAGCTCGTGCAGAAGTAAGGTGGCCAAATAGCAACGCACCAAACAGCGGCGTACACTCCTGCGCATTCAGAAGGTCTTAATTGGCCCCCTTCCGTAACAACGCCTGGATAATCTCCGTGTACCCAAATACGGCAGCAACTTGAAGAGGGGTACTACCGCGCGCATCCTTGATGCTGACACATGCCCCATGCTCCAGCAGGTTTGTCACGACCTCTGCATAGCCGTACCGAACGGCTGCATGAAGCGCACTCCCCATGTCGGCACCCGCTCTCAGCAATTTTGTGTGAGGGCCACATTGCCCTGAGCAGCCGCACACTCAAGTGGAAATTGCAGCATCTCCGCCCACTCGCGTATTGTCAGGATTTCCGAGAAGAGATCAAACGTTTGCCCCTCTGCTCCCATTAGCGCTCTCCGTCCTTGCTCGTTTGCTAGAGCGTTTTGTGAGCACGTATGGCGACAGAAGAAACCTCTAGGGGGCATGCTGCTTCCGAAGTCTTCCGCCTGTGGTACCTCCCGATCCCGGTATTTGCAGTAGCCGCGCTTGCGTGCACCTTATTATGATGCCGAGCACAGCCAGTAGGGGGCAGGAGAAATACACCTGAGCGACAGCAGTAAGAAGACGTTCGACGACGTCACGATTGCTTTCGTGCTGGTTTTGCGCTGGCGGAGACGGGACTGTCGTTTTTTTTTTTTTGCAAGCACATGTGCAAGGAGGCATGTTTACAACTGTAGTCCTGTGAGGGGAACAGGGGCTGAAACATAAAGCAGTTGAACAGGACACAGCGGGAGAGTCTACACGTATGCACAGCTTGTGTTCCAGCTGGATCAGCAGAAAGGCACCCAATTGCAGTTCCACGTCCACCCAGCGCTAACCAATCAATCGTACCCATCTGAGGCACGGCGAGCGGGATGCAGTACTGGGCCCTCTATAGTGCAGGGGTGTGTCCAGAAATTCTATCTGCACTATAGTGGGCACCTGCACTAATCAGAATAGTGCGTCAATAGAGCAGGTTCGGCACTATTGAGGCTTTGAGTATACTTCAATAGTGCAGGAGTGCAGGTCCGGCATTATTGAGGAGATGTTTGATTTCATGGTGTGGCGCTCATGCTTCACAGGTCGAACAGAGTACGAATTACAGTAGTAGTAGTGGATCGAATTACAGTGGTAGTTCTGGGCCCTGTTCTAGCGTGGGCGTGGGCAGACTGTCCCGTGACGCTTATGGTTCCCCCCTGCCGCACACACAGATGTTGTAGAAAAATTACTTGCAAGTTGCACCGTGAATTTCTTCCTGTCTCAGCACTTAATCTGTACTGCACACCGTCTGTCGCACGAACCAACACTTATACATTAATACTTGGTCCTCGGTGACCCCGTTCACTGTTGCAAGATAAAAAAATACACAACACACCAGGAAGCGCACAACAAGAAAATAAACAACCACTTCTGCCATCGCTGTACCCCCCGCCCTCACTACGTCGCGAAAAATTATCTCACATTTCTGGCTGGCGCATCCATCAACTTGAGAATCTCAACCTTCGTGTCGTTGCCCGGCCGTGCACGAGATCCAGAACCCTTCTTACTCCCCCCCTTCGTTTTCTCGGGCGTTTAGATGGCCCCGCCCCAGCACCCGCGGCTGGTGTCGCTTTGCGCTTGCCAGCGTTGGCGACGCCCTTGATGCAGATGCGGTGCTTTTCGTTATCCTCGAACATGCTGCCTCCATTGGCGTGGAGCCGCCCGCCACACCCTCCCTTGCAGACGTGGCCATGAGGGGCTCGCGGCGTTCTGTCTTGTTGATGGCTCAGTTAACCGTCCGCACAAGGCATGGTGGGCCTCGGCGTAGAGCTCTTCGGGTCTGCAGCAGCACATGTCCCCTGGTTTCTGTGTTGGGTCTGTCCGCTGTCTTGTCCGTTTGTGTGTTTGTTATTACTGCTGAAGCATNGTTTAGATGGCCCCGCCCCAGCACCCGCGGCTGGTGTCGCTTTGCGCTTGCCAGCGTTGGCGACGCCCTTGATGCAGATGCGGTGCTTTTCGTTATCCTCGAACATGCTGCCTCCATTGGNTGGTATACCTTTTCTAGGTACGTTAGCCTGTGACCACGGAAATTGGCCGAGTCAAGTGATGGATTAGTACGGAGAGATTGAGACAGAAGGAGGTACTGGATAGAGAGACCGGGATGGTTTTTAATGTGAAGACAACAACAACAACAACAACATCGACCGAGCTAACCGGCTGACCAATGAAAAGACGTCAGTCTTAGTGCGATTGAAGTATTTTTGAGGGGGCGGCTTGGGGGAGGCTAAGCTATCATTCGGATCAAAGACAGAAACGGTAGCAACAGAAGAAAACTGCACGGGTCGATGAAGGCTGCTACCTTGCACTCTATTCCGTTTTGGAGTGCTTTCACCGCCATCCTCCTTCCTCACTCCATCGTTCTCACATATCGTTGGTGTGTGTGTCCAATCTGCACTACTGCGGGGCACCGCGGTGCCCAACTTGTACTATAGCGGGACCTCCCTCAATAGTGCAGGACCTGCACTATTGAGGGCGCTGTCTGTGTCCAGAGATTTTACCTGCACTATACCGGGCATCTGCACTATTCAACCTGCACAATAGAGGGCCCAGTACTGTTGTCCTTGTTGGACGTCGGATATTTTCTCCTCACGAAATGTCCGTAGGTTTCGGGGGCCACGGTTAGGGTCTCCGCCTCTAAAACACAAGAAGTAGACTTCGTTTCTACGCGGAGGCAGTCCCATTGCTGCATGTAGCGGAGCATTTTTTTTGCGTGCTGAAAGCATGAACATTCCGCATGTACTCGGAGCGGCAAATGAAATCCGTCACAGGTGTTGTGTTTGGTGTTGCGGAAACAGAAACGACTCCGACACGCCGCGCCAATGATACCAAATGGGTCAATAACCAACCGCGCAGCATTTTCACGCTTTCAATCGGAAAACAGAAAATTGAGGCGCTGTGAAAAAGGTGAAGGCTTTCCATCACTCCTACCATTTTTATTAACAGTCTTGGATGTTCGAGTCTGGATTCGGATACTGTACAGCACTAGTTGCGCTCTGAACGCGCACAACCAGCCGCGCCATGCAGTCAAAACGTAAACAGGAAAGCCAAAATAGTCTACACTAACCACAAGACATGGGGGCAAGAGCCGCCTCTCATGCACAACCATAGCACGGTATTATTTTGTGCACAAACGCACGTACCGAAGCTTGACAACTTATGTCTACACGCGCATGATTTCTACCACGGAGGTCACCGATTACTACCCTCCCGCTCCCTCCACGTCCCCCCTCCCTCCGCCTCCGGCTTAACTCAAGTCCAGTTGGACACAAGTTCTGAAGCGCAGTTCTGAACCAATGCAATCAACGACTGCCCCAACATTGCCACGGGTTCCTCGCAAGAGCTCTCTGATGCCCGGAGTATTGCGATACTCGGGTCAGCAGCGAACAGATAGGTCGGGCAGGTCAGCCTCATCCCGCGAATCCCAACCGCATCTGCACACTTGTCNGCACGATTTCCCCTCCCCCCCCCCCCCTGTTTCCTATGGTACATTATTCTACCAGGTATGTATGTATGGTTCCTTTCACAGCCCTATATTTCTCTTAATGTCAAGGCCTGGGGCGGGTCAGAGAAAAAATGATCCGATGCAAGCAACCATTCTTATTTCGACACAATGGAACGCCCGCGAGGCGTATTTACATCTCTCATTCCCGCTCTCGTTTCCCTCTCATATCACGGTCGTACGACAAGCACCTCGTCACGTACGTACATGCCGTGCAATCCAATATGTCCCTTTTTTTCTTTCTTTCAACAACACCATGTGTAAGCTAAAGTTTCCAATGCTACATTTAATTGACAATGTTTGCCCCGCGGCAGCAGAGACGAAGAGACGGCCACACGCCACACGAACAAAGATCCTCTCCCGCGCCACAGACCATTCCTACATAAACGGCCGAACGCCCACAGTGATCTACCTGACGCATGCTCCCGAAAAGAAGCGAACAATCCCGTCCCGCGAGAACGGCCGCGTGGTCGTGAAGGCATAAAAAACACGGGCGTCGACTCCCGAGGAGCCCTTGCGAAGTGGCCCCCTCCCTTTCTTCGGCTCCGCTGCTAAATGCCACGCGTTAGTTTATTACCCGCCGGATCTTTCCGATGCCCTTGGCACGCCCTTCGCGGAAGAGGAATGTGCTGCCGAGAACCATGTACTCGCTGTAGTACTGCACGCGCACGGCGAGAGGAGAACACACGCGTTAGGTGAGCGGTGGATGGGGCTGGCGGGAGAACCACGGCGCCCGCGGCCATCGCAACCATCAAATCCTTGGCGACAAGGGTGCTTGAGGTGCAAGACGGCGTGTCGTGTACGAGAATCGTCTGATGCATGTGGTGACGATGGTGCCGTGACTGGGTCTACCACTACGAATGGTCGCTGCTGCTATGCAAGTACAGAGAAACAAAAGACATGCTGAAGAAAGAGGAGCAACGAAATTGCCGTCGTGCACAACAAAACGCGGTGAGGTAGGTGAGCAAGGAGAGGCTCAGCTATCGACTTTCATACACCCAACCGTCCGAATCATAAATCACGTTCTCAAAACGCCCTCGTTTGGCGGGTTACATGGCCACTCCGCGCAAACGCACAAACCCGGTACCCTCAGTTCGCTACGATGCTAATTCAACAACACACAGGCGAGCGCGCGAGGCGAGCGCGCGAGGCGCGCACCCGCCTCCCTCTCACCATGAACCTGAACCGGACCGTTGCTGTTTGTCCTGTTCGCAATGCCTCCATTCCAGACTCGGTTCCGGACATGGACAGTATCGCCGCCGCCTGCCGGACTACTCCGCAGTGGATGACCGGCTGGTATCCCGGAGCGACCGTGGTTGAGTGGTGGAGGATTACCACGTCCGCCTCGAACTCGCGTGTTGCGCGGGGGTCGTCGTGCCCGTCGATTGCCACCATCCCCTTGTTATCGATTTAGGGTCGGGGGGCAGCGGAGGGGGGGCGGGCGGCGAGGAAAATGTTGTGCTTTGGGTGTGACCCGCGTTTGGTATGGACGTAGGGTGCATGCACACTGAATCGTCTTGCGTGCTACACTTCGGATGTGGGACAGAGTGTGGTGCGCCGTTTAAGGGTTGACTGCGGTGTCATTCGTGGGCGTTTCCGTCAGCGTAGAAAACTCTGGGGAGCAAAGCGGCAACACTATTTTACTTTCCGCAGCACCCGCGATGTACCCGCTGCGGTGATACACAACAGAATGCACATCGACGAGTACCCTCTAGCACAAAACAGGGAAATCGACAACTACAATATGAACGTGCTACCTTTGGCCGAGGGCAGGACATACCTTGCGAAAGGTGGACCGGCGAAGCGCCACGCGGCGGTTGAGCGAGCGCACGGCGAACGTCGCGCTCTGCCCCTCGTTGGCCTCCTTGACGCTTTGTCGCTTGCACTCGATGCTTCGGACCTGGAACCGCAAAACAATGGGGGGGGGATACAAAAGCAAGCGTTGGGCATCTTCACCGGGACATGGAAATAAGGCAGTGACTAATTGAAACATTCCAGGGCACAAACAACGCCAACCACGACACAAGGCAGTCGACAGGACGGCCCACAGGGGCATAGACAACGAGAATGCGCAACCTTGCCTTGGCGTCCGCTTGTCGTTACGCGATACGCACGGTGGTCACAAAACCTCAACTTCAGGCGACAAATACCACGGTGAATGGCGTGGCGGCATGCACAGCAGGGTCCAAGCGTGAGAGAGGAAGAGAAAAAACGGAATGGCAACACGGAACGCCGGACACACGCGACAGGCGCTTGTCTGCTCACCGTGACCTGGATGAAGTCGCCCGCCCGGTCCGGACCAATGAGCAGCGTCTGGTTTACCGTTACCGAGCCCCGGAGCATCGTCCCGCCGACCACGATCCCGACACCCCTTACTTCGTAGACGCCGTCGATGGGGAAGTGGACCGCGGGCAGGTCAGACTCCCGGATCTGAAGAAGGCCGGCCACACGAAATTGCCAAGGGACAAAGGCAAAGACCGAGGTTCACGAGGATGGGCTCAGGGTCAGGAACAAAACTCTGGAATGGAAACAAGTCCCTGGGTTATAATCGCACCGTGCGGTGGGACGGGTCGTAGTGGAGACATTTTCCCCCCGAATTTCGATATTCCGAGCGGAACCAACGGTGTCGGTATACCAGGGCAGTGCCTCAAATCGGCTCGGCTAGCTTGAGAGCAAATAGTTAATGGACGATAGCTCCGACGGGGCGAGAAGAGCAAATGTTTTGTTCACAACTAAACGCTCTCTCCTCCAAGCGCAGCTTGCAAGCGTGCGTATGTATCATTGTCAGACGCTGGAACCCCCGCACCAAGTGGCACAAGCACCAACTTGCATGTTCTTTGCCGCAAGCGCTTGGATGCTGCGTCCCGATTGACCGAAGGATATATCTCAGCTCACCGGCATTGAAGGGTCGTCATTCCTGGATTTGTTGCGCCGTAATCGCGCAACGAAAGCGCGCAGCAGGGGCAGACCCATTCCGGTCACGTTGGACACGGCGAACACCGGCGTGATGCGGTCGGAAGCGATGCTCTCCGCCGCTGCGTCCACCTATCCACACAGACAGCAGCAATATTCCCACAGCAGTACATCGGTTATCATTAGCGAAGACGTAAAAACTGATCGGAAGAAGGACGTGTAAGACGTGGTGCACTTATCGCATCGACGCCATGACCAACGGCACCCTTCCAGCCACCGTACCCAACAGAGACGCCTTCCTCTGCCAAACAAACGCGCGAGGAGGGGGGCGTGCACTTGCCTGGTTCACGTCCTTGATGGGGTAAGGCATCTTCTGGTTCTGCCGAAGGTACTTCGCCAACGCCTGCCGGGTCTGCTTGAGGACCGTCGGCGGGCAGATGTCAACCTTCGTCACCACCACAGCGATGGGAATCTGAGGCGATGGTGTGTGTGTCAAGGCAGCATCGAGGCAGCAACGGACGCGGTGAGAGGGTGTGGCCCGCCAGAAGCAAGACAAGCGCAAGACGGCGAGGCAAGGGGTGTTTCGACGGTGCCGGGAGCGGTGGACACGGCGTAATATCCTACCTGCGATATATATACCATCAGGAAAAAAACACGGCGGCACTCTTAATCTCCGAACGTGGCCGAAGGGTTGCTGCGCTTCAGTGTCTCAACTATACCTAAGCCTTCAACGGATGCATGTAGGTCTCTCAGTTAAAAGTGCCGGTTTCGTTATCACTAGCTCAATTGTTGCCGACAAAACACGCGAAAGAAGAGACTACGGAAACCCAAAAGGTTAGACAATATCCCCAACGAGACAGGGACAGGGTGATAGGGATGAGGCACACGCGAGTGACCTCTAGGAACTGAACCAGCACGCAACCTACTCCTATGTCCTGAGTCGCGCCCGAGGGTCGACCGTGAGACATGCATGTACCTGTAGTGCGCAGGCGATGCTGATGTGCTCCTTTGTCATCCGCTGCACGCCCATGTTCGCCCCAACCACAAGCAGGCAGAAGTCCGGCATCAAACCTGTTCCACCACGCACGTCATCGCAAAAAAAAAGGAGCAGCAGCATGCCACGCAAACGGCCACAGCGATGGGAGTCCTTCTGCTCAAGCATGGGGCGACACGCGAAGGCCAGATTGTTCCCCTACAGTGACGGAGTTGACACGGGGGTATGGTATGGCATGTAATACCACGACGGAGCGAGAAAAGACTGCTAGTTGAAGGTAAGCTTACCAGTGAGGCCGAACACAGTCGTCTTGAGGTACTTCTCGTGCCCGCAGAGGTCGATGAGGGTCACGCTGCGGTCGCTGTGGTTCACCACCTCCGCCCACCGCTGGAGGTGTGACCTCGCTGTCGGGACAACCTGTACCGTCATCGTCAAGGTGTTTGCTGTTGAAGTTCGTACGTGAGAAACAGCCATTCAGTATTGCAGCGGGAAGGCTACACGCCCTTCGTGAAAACCACCGAGGCAAGAGATGCCACGTTGTCTCCTTCACGCAAGCTGCTGCTGCTTGGTTGGCGCCGTGGGAGGGTAGACAGACTTGGTGGAGAGCGATCCCAAGAAAAAACTTGGACCATGTGGCCCAGCAGCAACGCTTGGCAACCAATCAATACTCCTGTGCGGAAAGGCAAACAGAGTAGGGCGTTTGTCGCAACCTCGACATGTGACGACGACAAAATTTGATGTAACGTTGGCTCAAGAGGCCGACGTCGACACGGCAGGCGACATCGGCATTGCTACATCGTGGAGAGAGAAAGAGAGAGAGAGAGAGACAAGAAGATAGAGCGGGGGAGAGAGCGCCAAACGGCGAGCGCACCTGCTTGCCATCCTTCGCGTACCCCATAATCTCCATCGTCACGGCGGAGGTGCGGCCGTTCTCCTGCTCGTGGCGGTGGCGAAGTACCAAGCTACGCGCTGCGCCGCGGCCATCATCCAGGCCAGAGCTGGATAGAACCCCGATCAAGGTGGACTTCCCGCTGAGGAATGGAAACATAATTAGTTTCAGGAATGATAGAAGCCGTAGATGTTGGCACGGGCTGAGCGAGACCGCATGACGTCAATCGAACAGTTGGCGGGGATACAGCAGATTGCACGAGCAAAACAAACGCTACTCCTACGCATTTTCTGCTGTTTGCACCTACCTGTCTACGTTTCCGATCATGGCGATACGGATGTCAACGCTGCTGGATTCTGGGGGCTTGAGCACGTCCACACTCTCATCCAGTTTCGGTCCGCCCGCCCCGGCCGCTGGCGCTGACGCGCCTTTTCCGTCTTCATCCCCGGTTACCGCTACCGTTGCCACTGCTGCTGCTGCTGCTTGGGCTAACGGGTCTCCTGCTTTGACCTTGCTATTGTCGCCACCCCCCGCCATCGCTGCTGGCCCGCGTAATCGCTCGTCGCCGCCAGCGGACGAGTGACCAACCTGTGCAAGAGGGCAGAAAAGGGGCGGTGACGGCTTTGTCATCCAAGGCTGTCGCTGCCGCTGCCTTGACGCTAGAGGCGGTTGTTAAGAATGACATGTTGTAGGGGTCGATGGGGGGATGGGGGGATGGTACACGTTAGGTTACGGGTGAAGAGTGCAGAGAGATAGGCGAGAGGGGAGGTACAAGACATGCACTCGGCACGAACAAAGGAGCCGTCGCTTTCAAGGTTGACACCTCTGAGAGGGGTTTCGCGTCCACCAGGAACGCTGATTCAATTCCGACACGTCATTCGTGTTGTTGTTAAATCTGACCTGATAATCTCCGGTTCGGAAACTGCCACAGCACCAAGAGCAACAAAGGAGTATAGTACGATGAAATAACAACAACAGCAGTGACGACAACGACGACGACAACCACAAAAACAAGCAAGAGTAGTGTAAGTAGCAACTGGTTTCGTGGTTACACCGACACACCAAGCATCACACAACAAGTTGAAGTTACCTTAGGTACCGGACCAAACTTTTGTTAGCTGCATTCGCACACCGTCGTCCAATCAAATCGCGTTGTACAGAACGAACGATTCCGATTTTAACCCGTTGCGACGAATCGATAGCGGAGGTGTTGCGGGTGGTACACGTCATGCTGAAGTCTCATTACTGCTGTTGTAGCGTGCACACACCGCAGATGCCACCACGACCGCGGAAGAAATACAAGTCATTTTGGGAAAATTTCGGTTCACGTGAAAGGAGAAGTGTGGACATCATGCTGTCATGAACCCATCGCATCTCACCAGTGTAGCACTTGACGCTGCTATGCATACAATCCTCTCCAACCATGGTGCCGACCACCAAACCCGTGCAGGGTTGCTTGCAGACGCGTGCGACCAACGTCAATACTGGTGTCTGTTACACATTTTAACTGCGTGAGTTGTTTGCAGAGAGGCACCGCACCTGTAACCGGTCGTGGTCTTTCTCGATGTGGTCTCCTAACGAAGACAGGTTGGAGAAGGTGGCCATGTTGTTGTGGTCACGGTTCCGACGATGACGATTTCCGCCGCAGCAGAGCACAAAACACGCGACAAGTTGGGGAATGGGGGCTTGGGTTGTTCCCAGCGCTCAGTGCTCTCAAACAACAGAGATGGTTCCTGCGGAGAAGACACCGAAGAGCGAGGATGGAAAGTGGATCACCGGGCTCTCAGCTGGGGGGCGGAAAAGCACGCAATAGCCGAGGTTGATGTTGCTGTTACTGTTCTGTTGCGACCGAGAGAGACAGCCTGAAAGAACGGTGCTTCTGGTCGAAAACAACCAACCAACACGAGAACTGCCTCCCTCTCTTTCATCATAGAGGAGCTCCCCTCTGCAAATGCTTGCACGGACGCCTGCGGAACCACTGGAACTCCTAACCTCCACCCGCCAGAAATATCCAAGTGCTGTCTGCGCGCTCCCTCTGCTTGGCACGCAAGTCAAGTTGCGGCACGGACACCTTTTCTCTAGGTGTGTGCAGGGCTTTGCGGTCATGGCATCTGCCGGAAGCTTTGTGCACGGCACAGGGGCGAGCGAGGAAAGGGTGCGGCAGAGCAAGGAGGAGCAAGATATCGCCGATTTTATTTCTTCTATCGACGACACTACTTCCGTCGGGAGCAGTACTACTAGCGTACTCAGGGGAGGAAGAAGCTCTGCCGGGGACGGAGGGGGTATTTTCCTCGGGTTGCTCTCACCTCCCGCGCTACAACAGGTCACGGGCACCAGTGCTGCGGGCGAGCTCGTGTCGGACGATGGGAAGGCGATAGCGGATGCGTTCCCGGCAGATTGGCTGAATGACTTCGAAGGGTTAGGGCTGGATGTGCAGGATAGGACTGCTTCCTCCGCAGCACCTGCCACTGCAGCAGCACAACCAATCCGTAGCTCACCGCCGGGACAGCAGCCGCAGCAGCAGCAACAACAGCAGCAGATCGAAGACGACCAGCAGCAGCACCGGGATGCAACGATTCCGAAGAATGAGACCGGGGAGGTCCTGGGCGAGGAACCCGAGATTCTAGACAACGTCGATGAAGGATACGGCAGCGGTGCTGCCGCCGCTGGCATGTTGATGTCGGCGGGCGGGCGCATGGTATCATGGGCCGCGAACACTCCTGCCTCTCTTGTTGATGCTGCAACCGGTGCATTCCGTGGAGATGCCCATCATGCCGTAAGCAGGAACGCAGGAGGTGACCTCGGCAACGGTAGCGCGGCTGCTGCGTCGACTGATGCGGATGAACTGCCGTTGGACTGGCAAGGCACGCTGGACATGGTCGGCATGGCGGAGGCAGAGACAGATACCAAAGGCACTTCCGCACTCGCAGCAGCACCGGTTTCGGAGCTGCCAAGCCTGCCCCCACCTGCCGCAAGAGAGGGTGGCTTTCCCGACTTCGTTGAGATCCGCGACCCGCGGAACGTGTCACAGTTTCCCAAGCCGGACAACGCGCTCGTCGCCAAGTCGGCGGCCGGGAGACGGGGCGACGGCCAGGTGGGGCAGGGCGCTGGAGACAGCGGTGAGCACGCTGCCGCCGGGCAGGAGCACGGGCAAAGGCAGGTGCTGCCGGCGCCTCTGCGAACCGTCGAGGTTTACCTCCGGCCGGACGTGACCTGGGAGTCTGTGTCCGACGTGTACATGGGGGTGATGCTGTCCAGGGGGCTGGTGGTGAGGCATCAGACCGAGAAGATGGTGAGGCGGCTGTGAGGGGGGGGAAACTCTCCGACTGATTTTTATTTTATTTTTCTCCCATTGTGGGCACCACATGTCAGTATATAAGGCTTGGGGCACCTTGTATCGTGTCGGGCAAGTACCCTTTTTACAAGTGGCGTCAGCGGCAGGATGTCATCCCTGCAATGTCAAAGTCCCGGGTTCGAATCCGGGCACGTGCAAGTGGGTATTTTGTCCGCCGCCAGCCGGTCGGGTTTCGGTTACCGTGCATGCTACGGGGGGGCGTCGTGGTACCCGCGTATTTGTCTACGATGCTGAGCTGTGCGCTCTCGTATCCGGGGGGATATGTGGGCAGCACATGTCAGTTTATAAGGCTTGGGGCACCGTATCTCGTGTCGGCAGACACCCTTTTTACACCGTAATCGGTTACTGTCGTCTGCCCCTCTGGCCCCTATCCTCCACTTCTACTAGCTAGACGACCCAACCGGGGTCACATAGGAGGGGGGGGCTGGACCCCCTCCTGCGGTTCCTGCCTGAGGTATTCTTATCGCGAGAAGGGTACAGCAATTCCTTCATACGAAGTCGATTGTGGTTTACTAACAACGCGTTGCAAAGGTCACATAGGAGGGGGGGGCTGGACCCCCTCCTGCGGTTCCTGCCTGAGGTATTCTTATCGCGAGAAGGGTACAGCAATTCCTTCATACGAAGTCGATTGTGGTTTACTAACAACACGCTTTGCAACGCGTCGCTTTCATCCTAGACCAGGATTTATTTAGTGAGAAAAACTCACTCTGCCGGGACTCGAACCCATGACCTGGCCCTTAGCAGGCTGCGAGGTTACCCACTAGACCTGAATGTACTCCATGCAATACGGTCGCGGCGGGATGACCTTGTATCTGCGGTTCCCGAAGACCCTTGCAACGTATCCTCCGCTTTCTCAAGATGCGATCTTGACTGTTTTACAGAATGCCAACCAACACGCGTGCGCTCCATTACTTCCCCCGTTCAATAGACTATTGTCCCATCGATTCATATCGTGCATTAATTTCAAGGAAGCAGCAGCCCTTTTTATGAGTAGCCCAGAGGTGAACCGTTAGATTGTGCCCAAGCTCGCGGATGGATTCGTTTATCCCATGCGCCCATTCGCTTGCTCACTATGAATTCGCTGTTCGGCTTGATGATGAATTCACAAAGGTCACAGCGGAGAAGTCGGCAGACGCGCCGGGTGACTGGGCTACTGTAAAGCTAACTGTGGGCGTAACCCGGGATAAGCTCAGGACTTTGGTGATTCAGTTCTACGCTGGTACAAGAGTGAGTTCGTGCTATTTCTTGAGCCGCTTCATTGCGTGATCTGTATCTCTCCCTGTCTCTTTGTCTCCGTTTCCCTTTCTCGCACACGCCGTATCGAAGTGCAGCTCTCCACTTTAGCAGCCAAGATAAGCAATCCGACCTCCCACCACGTTCTGTCGAGGTGCATCGCAAAACACCCGATGTAGCTGTCCCCCTGCCGATTCCTACTCGTTTATCATCCAAGTAACGGATGGCTACAACGGCTTCTTGCTCTGAGTTCCAGAAGCAGGCGCCCATGCTGAGCCTTGCGGGAACGATAGCACGCTTCTCTGGGCGCACCGGCGACGACCTCTACACGGCGATTCGAGACGTGCTCGTGGAGAGGCAGATGCCGCTGAGCTTCCTTGCCACGGACGCGGAAGAGGTGTCGTTGGACCCTCACTACGTGCGGTGCGTTCCCCGACCTTGACAACATGTTTTTTTTCGACCGGGCACCACGCTTGTACGTGCCGACAACGGCTGTCACCCCTAATATTTGTTTCTATGCTTTTTCGTCTTGAGCGACCGTAGCACCGACATCCACCCAAGAATGCCGTTTTGATTGGGAGACCCGGCGATATGGTGTGCGGATGGTGCCTTGTACCTGATACTTCGACCAGTGTTTGTGTTTTTCTTTAGGCCATTCTTCGACTCTCTTTTGATACTATTAACATACAGTTTTGAAGTCAAGCTTCGATATTTAAATATTTATGGTGGCGACCGGTGACATTTTATTGGCCCGGAGTGGCAGCTATTACCTTCCCGCACACTCTTATATCGTGATTAAATCGTACCCTAGGCAATTCCTTTACGGCAAGAGTTGCTTCTGCCGCGTTCCCTCTTTCCCGGGTTACGGCCGCAGTGACCTCGTCGGCATGTACGCACACGAGAACGTCGTGAACCTGACTCGCTACGCGCTTCCCCTCGAGGAGTTCGTGAGACAAGAGGAGGAGCGGCTTGCGAGGCTTGAGGCCACGTTGCTGCCTCAGTATCGCGCGTACGGTGAGTGACCCCCTCGCCTTAATTTCACGCTGTGGATGCCCTCCGGGCGTTTCGCTTTCACAACCAAAGCGTGCTTCTTGAATGTGAAGAGTGGTGGTGTTCGTATTACGTCGGTTTCACCCTGGCTCCATATTTGTTTCATTCAGCAACCTTCTCCTTGAGCAAGACGCGCTGAACATCCAGTGGAACCAGCGTGAGCCAGCCTACCGAAGATGGGAACATAACATACCACGCTTGAACGACACCGATGCTTTTGACACAACCCCCTCCCTTTTTTTTCGCTCCTAGCAAGAACCAACAGTCCACTCTTCTCTCTCTTCTGTGCCGCCGTAGGCCTAGCGCCTCCTCGACCGACCCGCTCGAAACCTCTATCGGCGTACCCTCTGACGACGCGACGGCCGCCTGTGTCGGCTTGCGGGGTAGAGGAGGCGCGGGAGGTGGTGGAGCGAGCGAGAGAACACGTCCGCGGCGGCGGCGGCAGCTCTCATCCTCCCCAGAAGGGGGTCGACGTGGACGATGAAAACGTCTTCGCAAGTGGTGGTGGCGGTAGTGGTGAAGGGGGCGAAGGTAGGGGTGCAGGGGAGGGCTCTGGCTCGTCGTCGTCGGTGGCGGAGGGCATTCGGTCGTTGATTCGGGCGACCTGGGAGGACGTTAAGGAATGGTGCGACGAAGAGGCGGAGGCTAGGGTGCGACGAAAGGACGCGCAGGTCAGAAGTGTCAGCGGACTCTCCCTCGCGTATCAAGAAACAGTAGCCTTCATTCAGCATCGGTGAGACTCACCCCTCCCCCCCCTTGTATCTCGAGTAGCGCCGCTTGTTGTTCTAGGGATTCGTGACGTCTCTATCCCCCGACTATTCGCCCAGTCCCCCCTTGTGTTTTTCAGATTTCCTCTAGCGCAACTGCCACGCTCCTAGCTGACACCACACCTCCCACTGTTGCCACACGCATGGCACCAACCTCGACCGTAGGTTCGAGATCGCCTCCTAGCGGTTGAACGTCACCGCGAGGCGCTGATCGCGGCGCTGCGGGACGGCGCCGGCGGCTCAGCTGCAAGCAGCACCCCGGCGGGGCGTGAGTTCGCGGCCCGCTTCCGCCCATTGGCGAAGGAGGCCGTGCTGTGTGAGTGCAAGGCGGTCCACGCGAAGCGCGTCGGGCAGCTCTACCTCACGTGCAAGTGAGACAAACGGGTCAAGCGGCGGGGAAATGTATTTTGGTTGGGCAGGGGGGCGGGAAGCAAGATCTGGCAAGGCGTACCGGCGATGCTGTGATGCGGTAGTAGACGCTGTTGAAATCCTGGCTTGGTGCTTGGGAGTCCATGCCTCCAGAGCTTCGGGCGTGTGTCGGAAGTGGTGGTTTTCGGGCAGTTTTTTTTTCCAGAACACGAGTAGGATAATGCTCGACAGGCTGGTGATCCCTTTTCGTTGGAAAAATATTTCAGCGACCTCCTGTGGTTCCACCCCGGCTTGATTGTCGTTTCCCCCTTGATACACACACATTTATTTCTGCCCGCCGCTCCGTATCCATCCGCATGTACCCCCCCGGACCCGTCGGGCCAGCCACGTCTGTTTTCACTCGAGCGTTCTCGGATTCACGTCACAGAGAGTCTTGCCACTGCTCACGGTGGCAACCATCACTCACGCATCGTCCGTGCTGGGCATGGACTTGCTGACTCTGGTCGACCGCGGGGGGGAGGAGCACTCGTTCGGCATAACGGCGGTGGAGGCAGGCTTTCCAGAGCGTTTTCATGACTTGCTGAAGCAGTGCCTCGTCCTGTGCAAGGTATGTGTGGTTCCACATATGAGCTACTTGGTTTTGCGATCTAATCTGGCACGGCTCGAGAGCGCGCGCTGAGTGCCTGGGCATTTTGCGTCTGTGTACTTCGATAGCCCTCGAGGCGGGATAAGGGTGTGTTTTAGGGGGGTGAAACTTCACATTTCTTGTTTTGTCCTCGTCGGAGCGAGTACTCGCTCGTCGCTGGAGTTCTCAATCCCACAGCCTCCCGTTTGGTGCATTCTTCTCGAGCACCGGCGATGGGTATCAGGGGACCGTGTGTGTACATGGGACTAGCGAGGTTTCTCTTGAAAGAGACTGCAGATTTCTTGACAAAGGAGGGAGAAGAAGAAGTGTCAAGAGAGAGTGGAGCGTGGGAATGTACACATCATGCACAAAAGGGTATGCGCTTCTCTGAGCTAGCATGCTGATGAAGCGGCAGCAGAATAAGGCCCTGATCAAGGCGGGTGGAGTGTTTTCAGGTACGCTCGAGCACGCAATCACCTTGTGTACCCCTCGAGTTTCGTGCCGCAGAACCGCGCTGGCCGAACAGAGTTCTTCAAACAGCAGCGTACTGTAGGTTTTCAGTGACAGCAGGAATCTGCACGAAGGGTATGTCGTTCGGCGCTGATTTGATCCCCACGTCCTGACGAGCGTCTTTCGCCGCTACAGCCCGCGTGTGTCACTTGCTGATGACCCTACACACCCACATTATTTGCTCGCCTGTACACCGGTCGGGGGCAGTTGTTTCCTTGTCGCTTTGGCGTCGTGCCGCGTGCCCACCTTCTACCGTCACCACCCCTCCGGGCACTCTCTTGCCGTGGCGTCTGCAGGCGGACGCGTCTCGACGAGCCGCGCAGAGGGAAGGCGCCGCCGCGACCGAGCCGGACGAGGAGCAAATCCTGGCCCGGGTGCAGCGCCTCGCCAAGGCGAAACAGCTCCGAGAGGCCAGGGAGGCTGCCTCTGCCGCCGCTTCCCGCGCTACCGCCGCCACGCCCACCGCCGCCGGCGCCGTCGATATGGCTCCGCCTGCCGCGTCTCCTCACTCTCGATCGGGGTTCCCTCGCCCGGAGGAAAGCGAGGTTGCCAAACGAGATACGGGTGCTAGTGTTGGAGGGGGGGTGGTACAAGGCGGCCCCGGCGGGGCGATGGGGGCGGGTGGGGGATCCGCGGCGACGGAAGCGGGCAATGAAGGGAGCGGCGGGGGTCAGGATGAAGGGGCCGGTCGGGGCGCGCGCGGAGGCGGCAGGTCTGGGTCGATGATGGCCATGGGGATACAGGCGTTTCTAGAGGAGTCTCAAAAGAGATCGTGATATCGGTTTGAACCGGTGTTTGTTAGGGAGGAGGGCTGAGGAGACGTGGTATCTCTTTCGCGCGAGCGTCGGCCCCGTGATTGAGTGTATCACAACGGACCCGCACCTTTACGCCGTTGGAGTGCTGCAGCGGAAGGAAGTTGTGTGCAACACTTGATGTTATTTGCGTAGACGTTGTTGGAGTTTATGCATTGACTGCGATGAGTTACGCTGGTGTGTGGTTCGAGTTTTGAGAAAATTTCGGGTGGGGTAGAAGCCGTCTCTCCCGGCACCTTGTTCTGTTTATTTCTGGTAGAGAGGGAGCGACAAGCAGGAAGTTCCGACTCCGCAATTTCTAGAGCATTTCGTATCTCTTAGAGTCCTCTGGTCACCCTCCGGTGTACTGACTGCTGTTCCTTTCATGCTTTGTCCCTTTGCCCTAAGATCTGCGACGTATTTGACCCCCTTTCTCACTTCATTGGGTGCGGGGGGGAAACGAAACCATCAGAGGTTGACGACACGCATCGAAGTTTAGCGTTGTATCCCCTTGTGTATCCCGTGTGGTTCATGCGGACCGTTTCCGATTTTCGTTTCGTGTTGTCTGGGCCAAAAATAAATAAAAAAACTTGTTACTTGCAGCAAAACCCATGACGCCATTGTGTCCCGGCGAAAACAAAACAAAATGTAAAGAGGACCAACACAGGCACATCTTTCTTCTGATTTGTCGGGGGTTGGCAGTCGGGGGTGGGATTCGCTGCCGATATTTTTTCCAGGTGAGGCGCGCGTCGAAAACAGTGCGACCTGTGCGCCAGATTGCGGTCTGCGGTTCACATGAGTCACTTGTGAGGACACGCGGCTCGTGGTCCACGCCGACGTGCGCTCATCACCGTGCGAAAGGGCGAACATTTTCGTGATGAGCTTCCGTTCTGGGTGCGCGCAGCTCGTGCCAAGACTCGCTCGACAAGCTGCGAATTTGTGGTTTTCCCGAACGAATTGCGCTGTACCTCTACGTGCACACTCTTTGCCCAAATAGTCGCACAAATGATGCTCCCAGAACCGGGGGTTCCCTGGACTCCTGAAGTGTTGCTGCGCAGAGCAAGCGACAAGACAACCACCGCCAAATGCGCGGCGCGCGAACCCTGAGATTTTCCTTATTGGTGCCTGATGCTGGTGCGGCGAATGTGCATCTATCTACGACCAAGGCACAACAAACACCGGAACGTTACGCCAACAGCGCCAAAAAAAGGACGGCTGACGGTGTATTGGTTTCTCCAGAGGTTATCCGCAAAAGCGATTGAAATTCGAGCAAACATACATAGTTTCGTCGGATTTATGTTCAAGCATAAATATATCTAACCCGAACTGGAGGGAACAATAACCTGACGCACTAGCAAGAGGTCATCCACGCGGTCTGGAGAGAACAATTCCTCGGCTATTGAGAAGAATATTAGGTACGAAACTCAGCCGCGGCAGCCTTTGGCATCGAACGTATTTCGTCTCATCTGCGACGGCAGCACAGCCGGAACGGTGCAAGTGCGTGCAGATACATCGATGAAAGGAGGGCCAAAAACATGATACAAAAACGTTGCTTGCTAACTTCAAGGAAGAACACGATAATCCAACCAACATTGAATCATCCCCGGATATATAGACAAAACATTCAACCGAGAAGCACGCGCCATCCCTCTAGCACTGTCACCACCAGCAGCGCCTTTGTTCCTCTGCCCTAGGTTTCTTTACACCAACCACGGCGATAAATCATACAGAGTACACGAAAGCAGGAACTTGCCCGAGCATGTTTGATACTCGAACAGGGTTGTTTGGAACCGTGGCACAATTCATAGGACATCAAAAACACACGCGAATACTGTTATGCTGCCTAGAACATAGCCCCCGCCACCCTGTACAAGATACCTGTTCGTGTGAAATGTGTGGATAGAAACGGCGTGCGGGAACAAAGTCTCGTGAATCCGCCAACCGAGAAAAAAAAAATAACAGAGGAATGATATTCTACAGTCGCGAACCACCAGAGGGTGTTGACCTTTTATTTGTATCGCTGCCCCCCCCAGCGATGGCAGGAGGTGAGATTTCCATGAGGAGTCGAGCAAACCGAAGCTGAGTGATCTTGCGTTGTTCTTCGACTGCGTTTCGAATCTGTTTCATGGAGAAACGAAAAAAGATAGCAACAGCAGTCGTCAGCAGCCACGCGTGAATGATAGGATGGGTGGGTAGGTGGGAGCCACCTTCAGACAGCCCGCGGCAAGCGTCTGTTGGCGCACTAGACGTTCTGGTTCACGCACACGCACCAGTCATCAGCAAGAGCACGGTTCGGGGGTGTATCTCATTTGGGCAACGTTTCGTGCGTACTAACGACACATGGACTACTCCCCCCCAACCTCGGCGTCCTCGATACTCCTCGCTTCCTCTTTCCACCATCACGCTACACGCCATCCGCGGGCAGGTGCGCTAGACTGATTTCTTTTGCAAAACCAAGAAACCACCCTTTCCCTTTCGGAGACTAAGGTTCGTGTCGAAAGGGGTGCGAGGAAAATGATCAAAGCAATCAAGGCAGGCAGGCCCCAAACTGATGCCCCAGCTCCCCAACAACTACTGTACCCAAACAAGCAGGGGAACAAGAGTAACGAGGAGTTCCCATGAAGAGCCTGGCAGGAGCACAAATACTGCCCGAGCGTTGCCGGTGGGGTGTCTCTTAGGGGGAACAGTGCCCCGCATCAAAAGAGCTGCGTTGCCAAAGGTCAAACGACTCAGCAAAGCAAGCCTGTTGTAGCACCCCCCTCACCCACACATGCAGTCGGTCTCTCACTGTACTTCACCCAATCGCCAGCTCACCTCTGTATCCCTGTCGTTAGGCAAGCGCGCCTTCAGGAGGGCCAGAATTGCGTCTGCAGGCATGCCCGAGGCGCAGACAAGAAAAACGAAACCATTCTTTTGTCGGTATTCCTCGTTCAGCTCGGAGAGCTCGTCTAGGACGGCCTTGTCATCATCAGCACGGGTCACGCAAGAAAAAGACACACATGGAGGCGGGGCGGGCAGCGTTATGGGTGCATGGGTCTGGTCGCGCGGTGTTGAACATCACCCATCTAGAGAACGCGCCAACAGTAGCTATCCTGCAACCTACTAGGCGGGTGACAAAACCTTGCCAAACCCCTTGTACGGACACGCCAAGAAATGAGTCATTGAGATTCGAGCAGATGACCGCAGCTATATATTCGCGTCCCCTCGATAAACCAAACCCTGCACGCACGGCACAGCAGAAACGATGTCGATCAAACACCGTGCCATACCTCGCTCGCCCCTGCTGCTGCCGCTTGTTCTTTGTCTTCCCACCCGGACCTCGAAGGGGCGAACTTGTCCCGCAACGCCTGCTTGTCTCCGATGGCCGGGTGCGCCGCGACCGCCTCCAAGTAATCTGCCGGATTCATCGCCACACATCCTTATGCGTTACTTTTCGGGGATTTTCCGCTGAACTCTACTCGACGATGGCGGATGGGACGGGAACAAAGCGGCGCATTGCTTGCGATAAAGGCGGGGCTGGGGAGCTTGTGTTCGATAGTTGGTTTTCTTTGATGTCATGGGTCGAACGCAGAATACTGCTGACCGCTTTCAGAAGCGGCGAGAGGAAAGACTCAACCGCATGTAAAGGCAGTATTCGCGACGAGCACTCTCGAGAGCCGAAAGTTCCAGCGACCGGTGCTCTGGCGGAGGCAGCATCCATCCTACGCCACACCCGTCTCATCTCGACAAAGTCTTGCGCACACTCGTTCAGACTCCACCCCCCGCCAACACAGAGGCTCGCTTTTCTACCACATAACCGACTGCTGTCACGCGTAGCAGCGCCCCGCACCCGCTGGCGATAGCTTGGCCCAGCAATCATCCATCGCCGCTTGAGCTTCCTCCTCGGACTTGAAAGGCATCCTGCCCAAAACTGCGTCCGCCCACGCGTTGGAATGGCAGCACCTGACGTACGGAAGTAAAATACGTGACATAGGGGCGTGGGTTGGGTCACCAACACTGGCAAGCCCTTGTCGTGATAAAGGGCTTGCTAGAAACCGCGCAGTGCGGGACATCTCGCGGTCGGGAGAGGGGGGGGGGAGGTAGCACCTGGTCAAGACTTCGATACACACAAAGGATTATTTGTGCGAGAAAACGCCTCGTCTATGGCCATGCCTGGGCTGATACATCAGCCAGACGGGGTTCATATTTGGCCGCTTGTGCCCAAGGCTTGGGTGGGCATGCCTCGGCGTCGAACCCATCGAATGAGGTGGCACTCTTGCGCTGGTCTGTACGAGGAAGTGCGCTCTGGTCTGCAGCATGTCCGTCTGGATGTCGGGCTTCGGTCAAAGACGTCGAGCCTGACAATGAAAGCACGCACAATGGATCACGGGCTGCCACTTGTTCCCATTTACAGACGCCACCAAACGTTGATGGTCATATTCACTCATGAAACGGCCGTAGCAATACGCCGGTCCAACAGAGACCTTTTTGCCGCTCTTGATGAAACACTGTAAAAATCGCGTTGTCCTTACGTCAAACACTCCAAATCCATACCTGCTGCTAGACGTCACTCATCATGTGAATTGCGAACCAAAACCGAATACGCGAAGGACGACAGGTGTCTTACTCAGCAAAGGGAGGGCAAGAACAGCAAACATCGCGATTTTATGGATGGGTGGTGTTTGCGGTATACGCTTACAGAAGTCAGTTCAACAGTGAAGCCGCCACCATTTCAAGGGTTGCACTGCTTCAATGGGATACACAGGAAGTCCTGCCCACAGTAAGTTGTGACCCTGGCAGAAACATGGAGTTCTCCATCGAAAACACGCGGCAAAACAAAATCGCAACCGTTCGACTACCAGGACCAGTTAATTCATATACCCAAAGTGGTGGCAACTATCCGCTGCTTCACTGATATGTTTGCTGCTGTACTACTTGTAATATTCGTCTCTGCCCAACAAGTGCTGTCGTATCATAAATGTATTACGTCTTTGGGATGCAGTATACCACCCCCCCTGCGGAGTTTTCAATAGTTTTGGTGCCACCCGATTTTGTTACATCGACAGTATCGCCAGGTTTCCACAGAGACCTAGACAAAGCTTTCTACCCTATGCTTCTAGAATCGGGGCCTCTTGTGTTGTTCTGAAAATAGAAAACGGGCTTGAAATCGCTGGGGGTGCTATACTGCGTCATATGTGTCTCAGACAGCCTTACTTTCCACGATGTCTATATTAGTAAACGTACGTATATCTTCCTGATCTTGGTAAAAAACTGGAGGCGATTAACCAGAGCAGATACCTGAGGAGCTCTTGCCGAAGCTCATGGCGTGGCAGCGCCTGCAACGCCTCCATGGAACAGGAAAGAGAGAGTGGCTGCTGGTCAGTGATGGATAGCAAAGCGAGTAGCCACGCAGCGACACCTGGTACTTGCCAGGGGGGGGTCAACAATCCACGGAGCTCCTGAGTTGAGCCCGGCCTTGTCGCCTGGCCAGGTGCAGCATTGACCCACCAGCAGCACACAGCACTGGCAAACAAAGCAGAGGGGCGCAACGAGGACGAAGCAAGACGTTTCTTGCATGGTCACAATCTTGTAGTGAGTTGCTAACCATCACAACGAGAAGCAGGACGAGAACCGTGAGAGCAGCAAACATTCAATACCCAAACAGCCAGTTTCCAGCTTGCAGCAGGCCCCCTGCGAACAACAGCACAATAGCAAGCCACTGTTCTTTGCTGCTGTGGTAGAACCCCCGACGAGGGTCATGGCTTCTTCCGCTCCCACGGTAGCCCGATCCATTGCTGAGGTGACTCGGGAGGCGATCCGGGTGGAGAAGCTGCGAGGAAGGGTGCAGACGGTATTTCCGATACACGCATGCATGACGCCGACGGCGAGCAACAGCGAGACGCAGGACTACGGGACTGTGGGCAGCGACGGTCCGATTGAGGGGGCTACGAAAGTGAGCGATTAGGAAGCACGGGGCTGTGTCTGTGTCATCAATCAAGACGTGTTGTCTCTCACGAGCAAGGGGTTCGTTTTGTATTTTCTTAGGAGAGAGCCTGTGTTTCTGACCCTGTTGCCCGTCGGGCGCTTCGCCCGTTTCTTTTTTTCGTCTCGCTTGTCAACCATTGTTGCGAAGCGTCAATGGCAATGGGTAGTAAAAACCGCCAACAACCGTGCCTTGTTGCTCACTAGGTACCACTCATCGGGCCAACCCGACGTCTATGCCCAGGTCATATCCCTTGACAAGCGAACACAAAAATCAAGGCAAATTGGAGAACAAATTTGGTACTTTTTTCTATTCCCATTGATCCCTCCTCTCTTGAGCGACAGGGTGGGTGGGTGGGAAAATCGGATCAAGTCCCAAACGAAAACTCTGTTCTCTCGCTGCTGCTTTGCTGCGCTGCATTTGCGGGCGATGCAACGCTTTTCCCTTCGAGATCCTCGTCTTCCCAAGGATCCCAAAAGCTTCTGCCAATCTCTCTCTCTTCGTTGTACCCTGTATATATATAGCTATACCCCCGTGTACCATTTTTTGCCTCTCACCGCTCTTTCACGAAATTTCCGGAACGCTTCCACAAACCACGGATTCATGGTTACACCGAATCCTTCGTTTTGTGTTTTGCTCAAGAAATTTGGATTTTTTGAAAAAGCGACAAGAAATCAGAAACGCCGAAACCAAGAAATATCAAAACCGAAATCCAACCTATGAGCCAAACCATTGACTTCCTCTCGGACTCACTAGGTATCACTCATCGGGCCAACCCCACGTCTATGCCCAGGTCATATCCCATTGCGCGGCCCGATACTCGGCGCTCTTGTCCACGCTATTTCTCCCCGTCAGCTAGACGCTAGTGCGCGCGATACCTAATTAGCGCCTTCAACTCCTGCCCTAACGTACGTCATGAAGGCTCCTGACTTCCACCTCCCCGCCCTCTGAATCTGAATAACCGATACGCCCTGCTTTGCTAGTTGCGTCGCACCATCTATCCTCCCTGAATGCAGCGCGAAGTGCGTTGGGTCTTCTCCTACTCTTCTCGCCATGTCTCTCAGCGCTGTCGTTGCTTCCGACCTCGACACTACTGCCCACCGTCCCTACTTGACCGACTGCATGAGCGACGCGCTACTTTCTAGCTCTGGGTGCACGTCAAGCAGATTCAGCAAAAATCTCTAGCACCCCCATCTTTTCAGCCATATGTCCCCCTTCCTTGTCCCGCATTACTCTCTCTCTCTCGTCACTACCGCACCTCGCCTCTTTTGGTCCGCTTGCGATGCGCGAAAGGTCACTTCTACTCTGCCCGCCTTCTTTCGTTCCACGCCAGCCGACACGCTCGTTCGAAGAATACGAGGTTCCCTCTTGTGAGACAAAGGTCGGCGTATACTAAGCCGTTGTGGTAGGCCCACAGCTCAGACGCTCGGCACAGCAAGAAATACGAGAGAGCGATCCCCATCCACGTCACTAGTCTGAAAGCATTCCTCCGCGCTCTTTCTCTCCCCGCTATAATCATCGGCACGGTGAGCGGTTGCCTTACCAACGGTTTCGTCTTTANCTGCCCGCCTTCTTTCGTTCCACGCCAGCCGACACGCTCGTTCGAAGAATACGAGGTTCCCTCTTGTGAGACAAAGGTCGGCGTATACTAAGCCGTTGTGGTAGGCCCACAGCTCAGACGCTCGGCACAGCAAGAAATACGAGAGAGCGATCCCCATCCACGTCACTAGTCTGAAAGCATTCCTCCGCGCTCTTTCTCTCCCCGCTATAATCATCGGCACGGTGAGCGGTTGCCTTACCAACGGTTTCGTCTTTACCCTCGCATGCAGTCTGTCTATTGCGTTCCCAACAGCTACCACTCTGAAGTGCGACGTGGGCAGCTCCCAGCCTGGGTACAGTTTATGGAAGTACTTGATAGCCGCGAGGTACCCCTTCACCGTTTGGCTCTGGTTCTTGTACACTAAACATTTCGACGCCATAAACACAGTCAGCTCTCTCACTGCGCTGTCCACACCGTCTTCTTCGTACAACCATGGACTCCGATTCGCTTTAGCTCTTTCAGGTGTCCACGTGTCCCACTTGCTGTGGTATCCCTTCAGCGTGCTCGCGTTCAGGGAGCCGTGCTCCATGATCCTGAGAAGCCTTTCGCCTTCATCGCTCGTTCCCTTTGTCCCGTGTTCGCTTCCTGTGCTTGAACACGTTAGAGTCATTGCACTTTTTTTAGTTCTTGTGCTCATCATTCTCTTCTTTCTCTTTTCACTTCTTTTCTTTACACGCTTGCCATGCGGCTCCATTCGAGGCCATCCATTCTTTGGTTCGGGAGTTCCTCCTGCAGTGTCATTTCAATTAGTTCTCTTCCGGTGTCTCCGATGTCTTGCATTCGCCAGTTATCACCATGCGTGAGTCTTTCCACGTTGACTTCTACGTCCTCTGACTTCCATCTAGATATCCCGTCCGCGAGGGTATTCTCGCGTCCCGGGATGTGTTTCGCCACGTGACACCATCCGTTTCCAATCCCCATACGACCAAGCAGTCTCATGAGCAGTCCCGCTCCCCTATCTCTCGAGCCCCCGCATCTGTTTACCCATGATACCGCCGACACATTGTCTCCCCTCATCGTGATAGCTTGTCCGGGTTGCGTCGGCTTTTCTCCCACGACCATTTGGACCACCCAGCATGTAATTATCATTCCGAACAATTCTAGCGTGTTGATCGTGATTGCGCTGGTATCTTTGGCTTCTGCTTTCCACTTCAGCTCCGCGGTAAACGCGGGTTTAAATCGATACCGCCAGAACACTTTTAGTTCTGAGACAGTGTCCGCCTACTGCGTCGAAGCTAGCATCCGAATGGTAGTGACGGAAAGGCGTGCGTTGGACGTGGTTAAAGAAAAACGCGCCAAGTGACTCTCCTTTCTCCGCGAGTTTAACTTCCAGCGCCCATCTCCAGAAGTCTAGGTGTCCGTGGAACTCCCAACCGAGACGTACCTGCCGCTACTGTCTGTTAGTCTTGTCGTGTAGGCCGGTGAGGCGTAAGAGGTGCCATACGAAGTATTTCCCGACCCTCATGACGTACATCAGGTTCCATAGTTTTCCCGCCATACTCAGGACTTCTTACACATTGGCGATTTCTCTGGTCTGTGGCCAATCGTGCTCTAGCGCGGTCCTTATCGCGTCGATCCTCTCACGTGTTGTCGCGATCGTCATTTTATGTGTGTCTATCGTGTGTCCGAGAAAGTCCACTTTCGTGTTCCAGTCTGTGCTTTTCTTCGTTGCGAGAATGGGCGTTTGGCCCGCCTGTGCTGGCCCGAAGAGTCTCACACAGTCAGACGCTTATGACGCGGAGGCTACCAGCGCTGAAGCGTTGTCTGGCGCATGTTGTACTTTCAGTAAAGCGAAATCGTCTACGTACACCCCGCAAGAGAAATCATCGTGTGGCCCGTCTCCGTCATGCGGTTTCACGTTGGCATCTCGTGGCACTCGGGCGGGTGGTCCGTCTTCCCACGGCTCGACCATTCTTACATGTGAAATCATTTCGATCCCTTCGGACGCCATGAATCCCCAAAAACCGGGCGAACCTGCCCATCCAAACGTCAGTCTGAAGGCGACTAGTACGTCTCCTATCACATAGCAGAATTTTTGTGCATCGTCTGGCGCAACTCTCACGTTTCGGTACGCGTTGTTCACGTCCGCCTTGGACACTAGTATCCTTTTGTCAGGCCATTCGACTCTCAAGCGCGTTATTTCAGAAAGGAAAGCAGGTAGAGTCTCTCCGCACGAACAGTCGGGTACCGTTACCGGATCCACGTTGACTCCTCCCTTCTGTCCGCGCAGTAGCTTGGGGTAAAAAGAAAAATCGTTGATGATTCTGAATTTTTTTTCCCTACCACTGCTCCTAGCGGCGATAAGCGAACGCCCTTCATACGAGCTGCGTCCGCTACGTTGAATATGAGGCATCTGTTCTGTTCGACGTCGTCTATCAGCTTCTTCCACACCAGTTCCTTGTGGGCGTCTATCGTACTGTGATTTCCGTATCGCAGATCGCTCTCGGGGTTAGGCGGGCTGTCCTGCGTTTTCGCTGGCACACCGTCGTCTACGATGTCTATGAGATTCGCTAAGTCTGGGAAGCGTTTTTTGGTTCCGAAGTGTTGTTTGAGGTCGCTCAGGTTTAGCGGCGGTGACACCAACGTGCCGCCGATTGCCCTTGCGACATCTCCCAACTTTCCGTCGTTCGTTTTCAGTAGCATGCTACCAGTCTTCGCAAGTTCGTGAATGATTTCCTGTTTTTCGTCAAGTCGCGTGCCACGTGCTAGGCATTTCTTTTGTTCTCTCCATTTCAGCCAGTAGCTTCCCATAAGGAGGTGGCAAGGCTGCCGACCCGTCACTATCCGTGTCCCGCTTGCCGTAGGGGTCCTTGTCTCCAATGCACGTATTGTGTCGAGCACACTTGCGATCTTCTCCCTCGTGCGAGGGGTCTGCTTCTCCCTTGTTACTGGGGTCGTCTCCAGCGTTCACGCCGGGTCTATTATCTTCTCCCGTGTTGCGGGGGCCTTTTTCTCTCGCTTGTTGAAGTCTAGCGCACGGTTGTTGACCTCCTTAGTTAGCGGGGTCCATTAGCGCTGATTCTGCAGTAATTTCATGTTCATCGCTATTGGTGCGTGATTTACTTTGGCTGGTACTTCTACGAGTACACGGTTGTTCTACTCCTTGGTGAGAAGGGTCTTTTCAGCTCTGGTTCTGCAGTTGTTTCATGTTCCTCACCATTGGTACTTGATTTACTCGGGCGGGTACTTCTTCTCTCACCGTAGAACACGTTCGGTGCCACCAACCCGGGAAGGGGCGCTTCAGTTAGCGCCACGGTCCTGCTCCTGTCTACGAAAGCTGCTACCGTGGTGTCACCCGCCCCCCTCGGCCGCGCTGGCCCCACCTCTGGATGGGGCCCGTATTGTCAGCAGTTGGTTCCTGCTGCTCCGTGTGGCCTGTAGTTGTTGCTGTAACGGGCGACCACGGGGCGTGATGCGGCGGGGGCGGGGGCGGGGGCGGGGGCGGGGGCAGGGGCAAGGGCGGTCGCGGGGGCGGGGGCTTGGGCTGGCGCTGTGGGCGGCGGACCGGGCGGCGGACCGGGGGGAGCGGCGCTGGGGTGAACCTGTACGTGGTTGAGGGTGCAGTGCGAGCGGGTGCACTTTTCCCCTTTCCAGTGGGAGTGACACGCGTGGTGGGGGGCTCCCCACGTGAGGAGGTCCTGCTGGAACGAGGTCAGCGTCGCCACCGCGTGTTGGTTGGCGACGGGTGCGGCGGTTATCCGCGGGCGGGATGCTGTATGTCCGCTCGTGGCGCTGCTCGCTGACGCTTTCCTCTTCTGTGGCTGCGGGAGCCCGGCCAGGCCGTTGTTCAGCTTTCCGACTATGGCGTTGGCGCTGCTTCCGCGGTGAGGCCGCGCAGCCGCGAAAACGCGGGGGGTGGGACGGGTTGCACGTCGTCAGCCGCCGGCGGGGAGATGTCGTGGTCGGCGTGGGTCGCGATGCCAAGGTCCGAGATGTTCCCGAGATACTCGTTGATGTCGGTGTTGGTGTCGGTGGTCAGGCGCGTCTTCACCGCTGCTTCTTGACCCGTGATCCCCGCCGAATGAAGGCTGAGGTAGTCCCGGGCGTTGGACACAATGCGGCTGACATCGGCTTTCAACTCTTGCCTGCGACCGGTCGATGGTTCGCCTGCGGCGTGTGTGCCATGGTCCAACACGGCGAAGAATGCTTTCACGAACGTTTCGAGGTGAACGATGAAGTCGCGTGGCTGCGGGGTCCACCCCGTAGGGAGGGGTGGGGAGAACCTGGCGATGTCAACGTTGGCGAGGGTCATCGGCGAATCGATCATTTCGGCGTCGGGATAGGTTTGCGCAGCAGCTGGGCAATTGCGTTCTTTGACAGCGTGGTGCTAACGAGCCACCCGCCGCGCAGAAGCAGCGTCGCCGCGGGCTCGTCTCCCATGCCTTGGTATCGCGGCGAAACCTCTCTTTCTGTACCTGGGTGTTGATAGCCTGGTTCGACACGTTCATGTTTTGGCCCAGAGCTTGCGCTTGCTGGGGCTGTAGCACGATCTGGCCACCTAACGGGAGATTGATGGGCCGGGAGCTGGCCTTGCTGCTGGAGGCCGCCAGGGGGGAGTTGGCCAGGCTGCTGTTGCTGGTGCTGCTGATGCTGGTGCTGGTGCTGGTGCTGCTGCGGGTGCTGCTGCTGCGGCTGCTGCTGCATCCTGAGCTCCAGGTCGCCGAGTCGTTCGCTTTGCTCTTTTAGCAGTACAGACATCTGCAGCAGTATCTGGACTGGGTTGAGGGGGGGAGGTGGGCCTCCCAGCCCGGCTGGCGCGGCTCCGCCCGCGTTCTGGTCTCCTCCTGCTGCCGGAGGCGCGTTGTTGTTTCCGCCGCCTGTTGGTTTCCCGCCGCCCCTGCTGGCTGGTTTCCCGCTGCTACTGCCTGTCCGCCACCATGGGGAGCTGCCGCTGCTGCTCCTCCTCCGCCGCCGCTGCTCTGTTGTTGGTTAGCTGCGGGCGGTGGTCCGTCGGGAGGCGGCGGTGGTGGCGGTGGAGGTTACGCTGGCTGCGCTGGCTGCAGCTGCTGGGGGGGGACCCTGACCCTGCTGCTGCAGGTTGTTGCCGTTGTTCATCACTCCGGCGTGTCTAGGACAAATTCGATCAGGTTCGATCAAGTCCCAAACGAAAACTCTTTTCTCTCGCTGCTGCTTTGCTGCACTGCCTTTGCAGGCGATGCAACGCTTTTCCCTTCGAGGTCCTCGGCTTCCCAAGGATCCCAAAGCTTCTGCCAATCTCTCTCTCTTCCTTGAACCCTGTGTATGTGTAGCTGTACCCCCGTGTACCCTTTTTTGCCTCTCGTCGCTCTTTAACGAAATTTCCGGAACGCTTCCACAAACCACGGATTCACGGTTATACCGAATCCGTCGTCAGCCGTGCCTTGTATGCTCCAGGGAAGCTCCGATCCAGGGTCACACTGTAGAATTCTTCTCCGGTCCATCCTTGATTTTTAACGCATGTACAACGGGTATCAGTGTTTTTTGGAACGGAGGGGGGGGTGCATGTTCCGCGATACTTGATGCTCACTACCTACAGAGCTTGGCTCGCCGGACATACTGTTGTAGCGTTTGCAGGAGCTACTGCTGTATTTTCAGCAGTATGACGCGCTAGTCGCTCTGACGGTGGGGTCTCGGCGGCCAGGACGAATGCTTACCCTTCGTTGTTTGGGTTTGGCCCATTGTTGGTAGCGGGGAAAAGGGGAGGGGGCACCGATCATCATAGAGCCCGCGCGGATACGGCATGAAGCGTCGACAACCGCTACTGCTATTTTGGGGATGCAAGCTCGACTGGTGCAGAGAGTCCAATGAAAACACTACACGTGTCCACGTTGGTATTGTGTCATGGGGTCGTGGGGTCGTGTGAATGTCACGTCAGATTGACTCGTTGGTTGGCACGCCAGGTGATGTATCGGAGATCTACCTTCGGGGTGTTGCCACAGATTAACTATGGACACGCTAAACTCGCCTACAAGTAAAGCGGGCCAGCTCCCCCCTCTCTCATGGCCTTACCTTGTCTCACGAGAGGTTTTACCTGGTTTGCTCTCCACACCACACATTCCATGAGAAACGTGGGACGCAACTCAAACTTCGATACAACCGTCTCGTGTTGGCGTCAGCGACAGTACTTTGGGCGGCCCAGACTTGTCTTGCGACGAGTGTCGACATCCTCTCATTTTTGCGGGGGGGTTTCGCCCGCCCTCATTGAGGCCATGCCCAACAAAGCAAAGAAAACTGTTGCCCCGAGAGTCGAGGTCGACGCCAATATACAGTTCGGTACTGGATTGTGACCCTAGCGAAGAAGGACACCAAGCAACGACAAACGTCTTGACGATGGGGAGGAGTGGGTGTCCCAGTGAGTCATGGGACATTTTCAACTCAGCACTACAAAGTCCATGCTGCTGTATGCACTGAGAAATCAGATGCAACCCGAAGTGGTTCGATCTAGAGCAGAAGGAGGAACCCTCAAGGAATTTTTCGGAATGACCACGGTGTCACGCCACAAGCTGGCTGTATTGAATTTGATGCGAACAGATACCGATGGCATGCTGCTGTAGGAGAATGCTGCCCGCACTTCAACGTACAAGTGCAGGCCGGGCCGGACCCCTTGCCAACGCCCTCGGAGCAGAGTTCTCCCTGGACCTTGGCCAAGGCGACGCGGTCGTCGCCTTGTCCAAGGCCCAGGCCGAACCCGGTTGCGAGAGCGTTCGCGAGAGGCCCGACCTGAACCTGGTCATTGCAGTGCGGGCTGGATTCTTTCCGCAGCAACCAATATGCCCTCCATTTTGATATGGTCAGGGTTCGGGCGGTCCGCGGCCGAGTAATATAACGATGGTTAGCGTCGGTTTCTCCAAAGGAAAACAATCATTTCGCGGCGTAACACTGTGGCCCTTGCGAAACATTCTTCTGAGAACTCTTCCTCTTGCTGCTCTAGATCGTACCATTTGCGTATTGCTGTACATCTGAGTCTCGTTAGAAGCAGGGGTGTTGTATTGCTGACAGCGTCGCCCTTCGGGACGTGGGTGTCAAGCCTCCCGCGGGACGCAAGACGACATGCCCGAGAAGGGTTGTGTATCTTACTGGTAGGAAAATTCAACGCTTGTATTCCGTTCGAAACATCGCGCACGTTTTTGGAGCCAGGTCGAGCCGACAGCTTGCCAGCATTAAATCGAGCCAGATGCTGGTTCGTCTAGCTTTCTCTTGCGATTACAGATTTCCCTGAAGTTTATTCCGAAGTAACACAACGAGCGGAGGCGAGAGCGCGCACTCCCAAGAAAAACATGATCAACACTGTTGGTGCATGCACTCAGACTTAGCTGAACAGAAGTGTATCTCTGCGTCCAACACTGACTCGCCTTCGTGAAAACGTTGATCGTTGCTTGGTGCTATTTTACAGTAGGGTCATTATACGTCATCGAATCGTCATTGGCGTCGGCGTCGACTCCCGGAGAAAAGTGCGTTTTGGCTTTCTGGGGCATGGCCTCGATGAGGGCGGGCCACAACCCCCCAAAAATCGAGAGGATGTCCACGCCTGTCGCAAGACAAGTTTGGGCCGCACATCGCACTGTCGCTGACGCCACTGTAAGACAAATGTATTGAGGTTCGCGTTGAGTGGTGTGGAACACGCACCAGGTTCAACTTCTCGTGAGAAAGTGAGTGAACGAGAAGGTTGGTTGTCTGGAAGTCACCTCAGATTGTCTCGACGATTAGCACGTCAGGTGAACTGTCAGACATCTACCTTCGGGGTGGTGCCACAGAGTAGAGTCAGTGGACGAGCTGAATCCGCGTACAAGTACAGCGGGCCAACTGCCCCCTCTCTGTCACAATCAACCTTATATCGTACATCTGTTCTCCCTCTCTCACAAGAGGTTACCCCACACTTCGCAATCCCATAAGAATTTGAGCCGCATCTCGAACCTGGAGACTACCATCTCGTATGCTGACATGACGGATGATGCCCGACAAAGACCCCATGTTCACCACTTGGAAGATAGATTAGTCATCGCACTCGCAAAGCTATCCGCCAATCGCACCACGGCACGGTGGTATCGCCTTGTATGGCACCTCCAGCCCAAAACAAGCAAAGAGTGTATCCGCTGCGATGATCAAGTCAAGGTGACATGCAGACGTTTTTCAAGTTTCAAGTCCTCTCTCTGCTGTGAGGTCGTGTTCCCAAAATGTCTACATTACGAGTACATAAATGGCCCTGTTGTACCACCTCTCTCTCCTCGACCAAACATGAACGATAGCACTAGCAGCACCAGCCGCGCTCTGTTCTCAACCTCCACCCCAACCCATCTCCCCTCGATCACTACACCGAATCATCACTCCTGGCACCCGATCCCCCCCTTGTCCAACCTCGTATGTTCCCGTCCTCAGGTATTCCAAGTAACCCTCCGAGACCTCAGCCTACCGGGCAACAGTGGTGCCAACGGTAATCTCCACCACCGCATCGATGCCTACTTCTACGACAAGTGGGCGGACGACCACCACTCCGGCATTGGCCCTGGCGATGACATAGAGGTGACCCATGCCTTCAAGGCCGATGTAGTGGGCGAGGATACCTAAACTTCTCGCCCCACTCCCTTATGGGTTTTTGTCCGCTGAGTGTGGCAAAAAGAAATGATTTTCCTACTTAGGCATCTGCGAGGCACGCTTCCATGTTCACCATGGGTGTCGTCTTTCAACTTGCATTGTTCGACAACGAACGCTGGTACATGCTGTATCTTGCAATCAAGCACCTGTAAATCATACCCCAAGACACCCACGTGTTGGTTCTAATGTACAGGCGTGGCGTCGGTGCTGATGACCCCCCCTCACACGCAAAGTGAACACCTGTTCCAGCTACACTGTTGACTCTGCCATCTCGCGCTGTTAACGTATCGCCTCCCCTCTGAACCCTGTCACGGTACGCACGACTCTCGATCTCAGGTCTCCGGCCCAGCCGCCAGACTCGTTCACCCGGACCCTTCCGCGTCCGATAACGGGGACCACCCATTTTGCCTAGTGTTTCACACCGGAAGCGACGACTCCTTGCTGGCGCTGGGCGCGATGGCGGCGGACCACCTTGCCGGCGTCGCGGGGGGCGGTGGAGGAAGAAACGACGAAGCGGACGACGTCGTTTCTTGCAAGGTCGTTCGAAAGGCGGTGCAACCGGGGGCGCGGTCTAGGGGTGGGGCCGCGCCGATGGGGAGGAGAGGAGGCGGGGGAAGAGGTCAGTCGAGAGGGGTGGTGGTGGTGCTGTCTCGGTCGCGGTTGAGTCGGGAGATTGTTTAGCGCAACGGTGCTATGTGGATGTGTAGCGGTGTATTTCGTAGGTATCACGGTTGAGCCTGGAGGACGCAAGCGTGAAGGAACTGAAAGGATCCACGACCCAACGGCGCGACCCTTGCATTTTCGTAGTATGTTTCGGCCCAATTATATTAGGCAAGAGCTTGACATCTAACAACCTGCACTCATTTGGGATTGGTGAGTTTCGCGAGGGGGGGTAATGGTGCCGAATTTCGGTTGAAAATATTTAGCTACGTCATGTGTGTTTTTCTCTCCTACAGCCGCGGGACGCTTCGGCGGAAACCATACTATTTGTATTTATTTTCATGCAAACAGATGCCTGCATTCTTGTGCCGCATCCGTTCCTCCTTTTCTTTTTCTCTGCGACTGAGTCCGGCGTAAACAAGGACGTGGCCAGCCTGCTCGTTCAGCAAGAGGTGGCACACGAATTGTACGACGACGTTGGTTGCTCCCTAAAGCTGTTATTTCCCACCCTCCCACACACACGGTAGCCGCACTTTAAATATCGACACGTTGCACATCTTCTGTTCGTGCCGCCGACCCGCCCTGCCTGCTCGTCCTTGCCACCCTACTCCCGCAGCCAAAGCGTCGTACGCATACACTGCTCTGGATAGCATCCGCGTGCAGGAAGAGAAGACGAACGTGTACGGCGTGGTTTGCTCCTTCACCCACCGTCACCAATCCAGGGGAAGGGACCTGACGAACTCGGTGAGCCTGCTGGACGAGTCTTGCCCTCAGTCCGACGGCGCTGTGCCGTGCAACTTCTTCAGCTCGACTCTCAAGGGGCTGCCCGCGCCGCTAATGGTCGGCGACATCGTCAGGCTCCACCGCGCCAAGGTAAAGCGAGTGAGGCGGCTGCACAACGGCTGATGGTTGGTGGCCGGGAGTAGTGACTGTTGTCGTCGTTGCCTCTTGGTGTCGGTGGTGGTGCTGCAGCAGCTGTATCTGCCGTCCCAAGCGTTCCTTTGGCATGCATGCAGCGCCGACAATCAGGTCGTCTCAAGGGTACAACTGCCGCCGAATATGCCACTTAGATACATTACCACCGAATGATCGTTTCTTGCACCTGTCCCTCACTGGAACGTGCTTGCGCAAACACAAAACGAAACTGACATGCTCTGCACGCGACAGGTTCAAGAGTACCGCGGGCGGCCTCAGCTCCTGGCCGCTGGAGGCGCCGCGTGGCTCGTCATCCGCAAGAAGAAGGCCATGCGAGAGACCTATCAGAAGTGCCCTATCGGCGGCATCTCTTCTGCTAGCGGCGACGGCGACGGTGGTGTCGATGACGAGGACCCTGACCCGGATGATGACTCGCCGCCTTCGGGGCCGGATGCCGGGGGAGGGGAGGTAGATGCGATATTGCCTGCCACGGACTGGGAGGTGCAATCATCCTCGGCGAACTACACGTTGTCGCAGGTGGATCAAGACAGGTGATATGTGCGTGCGTGGCGTTACTTCTGCTGTTTTGTGCATCTCTTGTTGTCTTGGCCAAAAGTGGTTTTCTTTCAAACTTTGTCGCCTCTACCCGTTACAGCTGGTATGCAGGCTTGTTGACCTTTTCGTGCTTACTGTCCCGATGAGTGTGCCGAGTTCGGGAGAGCGCGATTTGTTATGTTTTCAGGGAGCTTCCAGCGATTGTTTAACCTGATCGGTGAGTGTGTGTGCGATACCGGTTGACTTGGGGACTTTTTCACCCTCTGGGTGAAACCATGACTATTGGCAGGTGTATCGCGCTGAGCGATTGGCTGGCGAGGAAGTCGCCGCAACTGTGGCTGAAATCGTCGTCGGAGGTGAAAGTCTGGGTGCAAGACATATTCCGACGACCACAGTCCGGAGATGTGATCTCGAAGCTCGAGGTGAGGACGCCAGATGTAGCAGTTGATTCACACTGGGCGAGATGCAAGTGTTTTACGCGGCTAGAACACGTGTGGGTTGATGAAAAACGCGGAAGCGGTGCGAATAGACGCCGAGGCTGTACGATGCAGACGTTTACGTTTAAGATGTGGTTCAGCGACATCACGGACGGTCTTCGACGGGTAACCTAGCGGCGCGATGTCATCAACTGCTTCCCGCGCGTATTTGCGTAGATCCTCGTGAGTGTCGAAAAATGGGTGAGGGTTACGGCTGTGTGGAAGAAGGGCTTGCTGATAGTACGATGGGAGAGCCCCTGCCTTCGCTGTTGTGGAAAAATCCTAATGCCTCGCCGCAATTGCTGCATTTTGTAGTGCATCCCTGCTGGGTTTGATCTGCATCGAAGAAGCACAGCATGCCCCCCCACCTTACAACAACCCCCCTTTCCGCCCACCTCCGCCGCGAAACAATGCACCCAAACGAAAGGTGGACCTGGTGTGCTGCTTGACTTCTAAGCATGAGAAGGCCGAAGGCGGGGCGGGCTCCCTGTCGGAGGTCTACGTTGCCGATGGGACGGGATTTGCCTCCTCGATGCCTGGGAAAGAATGGGACGACCGGCGTGACGCCGCCCTGCTCAAGGGAGTGCGTGCGGCGTTGGGAAAGCCTGGCTGGTCTCCGGGAAACCCGCGGCCTCCTCCAATCCCGGCGCACCTCAAGGTTGAGGTTACCGAAAACAAAAGAGAGGTGTGAAGTAGAGAAGTTGGCTGTAGTCGAGAGCGGAGATGCGGTGTTGGCGTGGTTTCGCGTGCTGTGACTTGTTATTCAGCGCCCGTTTCCCGCATCTTTTAAGACAATGGAACGAGTTTTCTCCAACGGTGTTGTCTTCGGATGATTTAATTTCCGGTTTGATATGCATATAATTGTATATATTTCGCTTTTTATTCGTTTTTCAGCTGGTACTGCTTTAACGCTTAGTTCGCCGGCGTTCATCAGTTCTGTGATTCCCGCCTCTTTCATGGGACGCCCCATCGAATCGGCTTCTAGTTTCTTGCCGCCTCTCATCAAGATTTTCTACGGTGGTTGCCCCGTCTACACACCGATACCCTGTTTTATGTACTCAATCGGTCGACCTCACACGTATCTTTGACCTGTACCTCATCGTGAACAACGAATACAAAACAATACAGTGGGAAGCGTTGGCACTGTCGCCCGGCATGTGGATCCGTCTGCGCCGGCTGACCATCGTGAAGAACAGAGCTACAGGAAACATGTCGGCCAAAATGATTGACAAGGGGTCGAGCGTCAATCCTCTGCATCCCAGCATGGTCGAGGTTCAGCACATCGCCATGTCTTACGCAACGCACTGCGCAAGCGCTAGCAGCAGCAGCAGCACCAGCGGTAGTGGAGGCCGCAGGGGCAACGGTGGTGAGACCAATACGGGTGGCAGCACTGGCAGCGGCGCCAGGAAAGCGCCATCCCCCGTGCGTCCCCCGTCGCGCTCAGCACCGGCACCAGCGACAGCGACGGCCGGGGTATGCTCACGGCAAATGCCTTCCCCGCGCGGCAACGGTGCTTCCAGTGGCAACGCTGGGAGTATGGCAGCCCCAATACCTGCCAGCCGGGGAGAGGGGCTCTCGACGAACGGTGACCCCGGTGTTTCCGCCTCCAGTGCTGCCGCCTCTGGCCCTTCCTCTGGTTGCGACAACAGGGGACGGGCGACATCTTCCTCCCGGGTAACCGGTTGTGAGAGGCGTTCTCTTCCATCGTCCCCCACCGCCGCTGCCGCGGCGGGGGCGGCGCCGCGGAAGGTCCCAACTTCTTCTGCCCAACAACTAGCGCCACTGCTGAGGCGGCAACAACAAGGGCCACCGTTGAGACCGGCGGGGGTTAGAGGGAGGTGTCACTTCTTTGATCGCGGTGATGCAAGCAAAGATGTCCTCGGGACTAGCAATGCTCGTACGGGGGTTGGCGGCGAGGGAGCTGAAGTAGGGGGGCATGTATCGGTGCGAGGAACGAAGCGGGCCCTGCCGGTGTCAGAAGACAGGACCGAGACTAGGGCGGGGGCTGAACGGAGGCCGGAGGCGCCCGAAGGCAGACGGATGTCTAACCTGGAGGTTGTCAGATCCACCGTGGCCCCGAATGTGTTCGATACTCGAGCCAGAATTGTCTCCCACTGGCCTCCAAAGGTAGGCGTGAAGATGAGAGAGTGGTTCAGCATGCGTTTCCAGGTGACGATGCGCATTTGTAGGTTCAGTTCGTCGCGGCAACCTGTTGTATGGTTGTGTAAGGGTCGAGGGCCGGCGATCAGTCGGAGGCTCATTGCGGCCCGGCCGAGCGGACGGTTCCGTATTTCGAATCGGAGGGATACAGTACACACCTTCGTCTGTAGGACTCCTGCTCATCTAGACCCTCGAGGCTACATTGGTCTCTCCAAACAACTTTGTTCTGCGCAAAAATAAACGGAACACAATATCTACGGGATGAACTGATCGTGGATGAGAGCGAAAGGAGAGCAATTTGTTTCTCTCCCTTACACTCCTACCACCCCCGCCCTCAACCCGTCTCTCATTCGTGGGGGTTTTCTCTATCCGATCCCTACTCGATAGGTGGAAGATTTCGTGCGGCGTGGTCCAGAGTCGGACAACGACAGACTACACTTCCTCTTCACGCTGAGACTCGAAGACGATTACGGGGTCGTCGATGCCATCGCATCGGGCCCCGACGCATCGCTCCTGCTGCCAGGGTCCCCGTCCCCAACAGAGTTCTATACTAGCCTCGAGGTCCAGTCGAGGGTGGAGCGGGTCCTGACACGTCTTGAGTCTACCAGCGCGGGCAAAGCTGGAGGGGGGCTGATTGAGCTGCGCCTGCGCTCTTACCTGGCGCCCCTGGTGGAGATCAGGCACAGGGGAGACAAGTGCAAGCGCTACAGCATCATCGCCCCGTCTTGTTTGGAAGACTAAGGTTGAAAGGGGGTGTTCGCTGTCACAGGGCGAAACGCCATCGGGTGGTTTTGTGCCTTGCCCTTACGATTGAAGGTGCTGTACTTTCGCCTTTTGGTGCGGTATATGGGCTTTTCGTGACGAAAGCAGCACGTAAAAAAATTCCAGGTCCGTTGCTATAGTTTTTCTTGTGGCGTTGAAGCCGGCGAACCTGATGCCTACGATACCAACGGAGACCCTCAATATTTCTGTTGGTGGGATAAGTACTGACTTTAGAATATCTTGTCGGGTTACATGGTGGGTCGGAAGGGTGTCGGTTGTTTCTTTTTGTAGTTCATGGTTCCCAAACGAATTGACGTTATCGCATGTCAGGCCTGGATATGTATAAGGACAGGAAGCAGTGGTGGCCTTCCACATTCGAGTCTGTTCACCACATAGATGTATATCATGCGCATGTGAAGGTTGCCTTGGCTTCTTCAATTTATTCTTGTAGCGGCTTTAATACGTTCTACTTCAAGGTGAAGATTGCTCACGTGTAGGCACTTGGCTGAGTTGCTTGGGCCGTTGTGCAGGGTGTGTTGTTAACTGGCGCGCTTCCCGTGACACCAAGAATCTTCACTATTCAAGTCCCCTCTCTGCATGTGGACCGAGGAGAAAGCTGCACAAGGTCCCCGAACAAACAAATCGTAGTAGAGGTTAGATCACCAAGTACGAGAGAGGTCCTGCGTTTCCTACGATATTTCTGTGCCTTTGTTGTTTCGTCACCATTTTTGTTGTCGCCAAAAAGTCAAAGGGCACCCTCCTTCCCATGAAATCTGCACTACTGCAGAACGACACATACTTCTAGGAGACATGCACATGAAGGGCTCCATCTACCAAGGCGGTTTCCAGGTGAAAGCTCCTGCCGCTCGACGGCACCAGCCATCCCTTCTCAAATAACAATACCCCCTGCGCCCAGTAAAGCACTTCCGGTCCCGTCGAGAGTACTTGCGACATCTGTTCGTCCAGAGAAAAATCGACCCAAAGTACAACGCCATGACATTTCACATGCCCCCCATCGTTCGCTGCTACTGCGGTGGGACGGGGATGATGTCCAAAGCAACGAATTTCAGTGCGACCGCCGCGCAAATCGCACAGTGGTCGGGTCAGATCCATGTCTAGGACTGCGGTCGGCGGGCCAAGCAGCTGGTGCCCAAACTCTGACAATCGCAACGACTCGACTTCTCCAGGTCGCCGCCTTTCGTCTCCATCCCCGCCTCCTCCATGATTAGCTTCATCTACACCACGCCACTCGAGGCCGAGGCCGTCGTTCGCCGCAGACATGTCGACGCCTTGCACGGTCCCCACACGACACCGGCTGTTAAAGAGAAGCTCGCATGCGAAGGGGCAAACCACCAAGCGCGCTCTAGCCGGCATCACCTTGGTCCTCGGCGAAAAGCACCCGCGGGCCTCCAGGGCCGTCCTCGCGCACCAAAACAATAACAGTGACTCCAACGACCAGGCGGCGGTCGAGAGGTCCGCGAAAAAGGGCTCCCCGACTACAGCGTCGAGCTTTTTCCCTGCCAAACCAAACTCGTCGTTGTCGGCGGACGGCGTCAGGAGCTCGTACACGTTCAAGATGCCCCCGGGGAACTGCCGAATGACCCTCCTTTGATCGTTGCTGTGGTCACCTTCGCCGATATCTATCCCGTTCGCGAGGTACACGTCCCGACACATCGCTCTGTAGGCGGTGGAGGGTTGAATCTCGAGAACTTCAAATGCACCCTCCTGGGCCGCAAGGAGCGGCAGCAGGAAGCCGTCCGAGACACAAGCGACGCACGCCGACGCGGTGCGTCTTCTTTTTTCTCCGGAGGCAACCCTGACGATCTCAGCGTCAGAATCGACAGCATCAGTAGCGGTGCGATTGTCGTGCTGTGTTTGGGCTTTGCGAGTGCCCAGAAGAATCGCTCTGATGGCCGATCGGAACGCATCTGTTCGGTGTTGGTCATTCAGCATCTGGATGCGGGACGGTGAACAAGTCCGATGTAAGCCGCATACACACACCGGCGGGAAGGAGCGAATACTCGTCTCTCGGGAAAAAGTCTCTCTCTCCCAATCATGCTCATCTCTTCCTACTTTCCCGCCCGGTGGTCCTGATGTTGGTACGCCTGCTCCGGCTATTACTCTATCGTGGTGTACCGTCTTTCCTGATCTGCGACTAGTAGCTGCTGCAACAATATCAAACCAGACCGTGCTATCGTCGTGGCAAGCGATGGCGCACACGGTGTCGCCCGCTTCCACCTGAACCGGCCTGCTCAAGAGGTACACCGACTGTCGCCAGTGATCTCGATGCGGAGGCGTAGAAGCTGGAGATTCTGCTCGAAATTTCGAACAAGCCTTCGGCGGCGGCAATGGGGACGTGCTCATTACAATCGTCCGGTCTTCATCCATGAAGCACTGCCACCAGCACACGATTGCGTGGACCTCGCCGTCACCACCCGAGATGGTATCGATCGGAAATTGTACTTCGCACCTGCGGCCCTCCGGCCCAGGCAGAGGGTTATCACGTGACATGAAATCAAAATCGAAAATCCTCACAGATGGGGAGAGAGGGTGGAACTGCACCATCCCATTCTCGTGCATAGATACCGGACCGGCCGCCCCAGGACATCGTTTCCACTCTTCGGAGGACGGCGCTCGGAAGCTCTTGCCGCTGCTGGTCCCAGCCGAAGGCAAAAGGCGGCTCATGCTGTGCAACTCCGAGCTCTGGCAGCAGAAGGCCCACACCTCCGCATTCGATGGGATAGAAACAAACCCGGGCGAGAGAAGACGGGCCTTGGCGTCCCGCAAGGTCGGGAGGATCCCTTCTTCTAACAGGCCTGACGTTTTGTTTGAGCGACGGTTTCGAAGTGAAGACGGTAGCTTGTTGGCAATGGAAACTTCTGGGGGGTTTCACTGCTCAAACCAGCGAGCTAGAAAGGTCAACGACGGGAGGTGCTTTCGACCGATGACTGCTGGTGACCGAGATTGGCTGCTTTTTTTGCACGTAAAAGGGAGAAAATGTGTTGCTGTGTTCAAGAGTGCCTACCTGATTCTTTTGCCTTGCAGTCAGCCACGAACCTGTAAACAGTAAAGATTTTTTCCCACTAGACCTGCTCGTGCTCGCTTAGAATGGGCTGGCAAGCAGCTCCGAACTGCCAAAGCATTGCGAGCAGGGTGCTGTTCACCAAAGGTGGAATAGAGGGAAATCAATTCATCGACCGACCTGTTCCAAGTAGCTCCGAGATTACACGCGGTATTCGAGAAGGCAGGTCCCTGCCGATCTCCATTTCCGTCGAGCGGCCGCGAAACAGACGAACACGTTCTCCGTTCTTCTGAAAGGTCCGGGCAGCGACCTCGGCCACCTCGTTCACGCCTTCGCACGCGTAGACCTCCGTCCTGGTGGAAGCCGTTGCTGCGGCTACAAGGCTTGCTAGAAGTCCGCTCCCGGTGCCGATGTCAAGCCATCGTTCGACGGCTTCGGTATTGTCGCTGTGGACAGATTTGGCAGCTAGCAAGCGAACAGCTTCGCTGTACGCTGCATGCATGTTCAGGGGTGGATGAACAAAAATACGTTACAACACTTCGTGGTGAAACAATCTTCAGTCGAAAACAATTAGGAACCTCTTCCCCTGGCAGCTCAACTGATTCAGGCGCGTCGGTTGCGTTTTACACGCTTGCTGGTGATTCACGCAGAAAAAACTACGTACGAACAATACAGCACCAGCAGTAGCAGCGGTCTACAAACACCTGACACATCTGGGCACATCACATTAATGTTAATCAACTGCGGTGAAAAATCGTAAATATATCCGCACCTCGATTCCGCGCATTGTCGTGAAGCATGTCAAAAGTTGACAGCTAAGCCGGGTGAAGGAACCGAAAAACACACAGGCGAAGGACAGGGGGCTCTAGTCAAAGTCTAGATTGGTACAAAACTATTTGTCATGCGAAATTGCACCGCAAAACTCGGACTGTGACGCACGCGAAGACAATGCTGGAAAGCGAGAAAAAATGTAACCATCGAACAATCAACAAACTTTGATACACCGCGAACCCGGAAGACAGGACGCATGTGCGTGCCATCACGATTTCTTTGATCTGTCTTTCTATACTGACATGACCATCTACTACCATGCTGCCTTGTATCGTACGTAGAACTTCGAAAATTAAATAGCAGGGATTCTTCTGAGTGATCCCGGATTGGATCTCTTCAGTTCGATCTCGAGGCGAGGCCGTTCTCGGGTAAGTAGAAACTGCGAGATATGAAATTTGTTCTTCGAAAGGTGAAAGGACGATCACTGGAGCTGTGCGAGGTGTTGACGCCCCTTGGCATAACCCGCCCCCCCCCCCCGCAGCAGTGGCTCTTAGTCCTGGGCGGAGCTAGAGGAGCAGGAGTTCGCCGATGCTTTGCGGAAGGACGCGAACGGCATGCTCGTTCGTCAAGACGCTGTTCGATACCAATACAATATAGAGCAAACATGATATGTACTTCGGGGAGGCCAACCCTTCAAGCGATGAGCTAGAGGTAGGTGGTACGGAAGAAGTTGATAGTGCGGAGGATAGGGGGGGTGATGGCGCAGCCGTCAGACTTGGAGCTAATGTCGCACATTGGACCGCTTGACATGTGTGGCAGCGCACGATCTTTGCAAGGCAAAAAACATTTCAAAATATATTGTCATTCCCCGCAAGGCACGCCGCTCAACCAGCGCGGCAGGTAGAATCAGAGGGAAAGATGGATATGGTGTGGTACTTTTGGATATGAGGCCGATCTGTATGTCTCCTCTCGGGGTAAATGTATGGGAGAGAGAGAGAGACAGACAGACAGACAGTTCACACGCTCTGGACATGCAAATGCATAATAAGTGGTTGTTTTCTTCATCGCCCGTTCCTGGGATAACTGAGTGCCCAGACCAACACCAACCGCTGAGGGCGGTGGCACCTCGGAGAATGGTCGATACACGTGACAAAGTTGCAAAGATGAGCACTAAAGCACGGTTAGTGTACCGTCATTGTCAACAATTTACCACACGTGCCGCAGAGGCATTCATGATTTTCCCAACTTTATGGGAACCATGCTATGAGGGCCATGCCTTGCCGAGTTGTTGCCCTCAAACTGCTTTTGTCTTTTGTCTCCTTCCCCCGCGCCCGCGCCTTGTTCACTACTCGATGCGCGCGGATTGCACAAGACTACTGCTCACAATGTATACGACGTTTGGACCATATATTTAGACTGCATTGCTATTCATGTGGTGATACCAGGACATATTATTCAGCACGCGGGGAACAACGCAAAGAAGGGCAACCCACTTTGTGCACTGCCGAGACGTGTAGAAATCAGTCGAGAAGGGAACATATCCATCCACTGAGCAGGGGGATGCATACGAGAAACGAACCGCCACTGCTTTGCCTCTACAGCAGTAGTAGTAGAATCCACTGAGCAGGGGGATGCATACGAGAAACGCACCGCCACTGCTTTGCCTAGTATTAGTAGACTTATCATGCACGCGCTACTCACATATTCATCCTTCGGGCAGAACGTCGCCAAAGTCGGTGGGCTTCCGTTTTTAGAGTCATTATTATCATTCATTGGATAGCAATGACCGGCGATCTCATCTACAAAAACTACCACGGCGGTGCTTCGCACACGACTCTGGTGGGTTGTCTGTTGGTTGACGGGAGCGGGGGTCCTGCGGGGTTGCGCGAGTGAATTTCGATGGTTTATTCAAAGAGGCGTTATTGGTTTGATCTGCGCGAATTCGTCGTTGCACTTCCTCACCCACGTCGTGTAGCGGGTGGTAAGTCGGCAGCACAGGCGCACCACAGGGCAAGACCCAGAGGAGTATGAACTCCCGAAGCATTGACCCGAGATTGAACAAGGATAGTAAAGACGCTCAAGAAGCACGTGCTGCTTTGTCAAGCGCGAAACAAGACATCCTTTCAAGGCGGGGTAATCCTGGGTTGGGCAGGAAAAACGACAGTGCCGTGGCTCCGAGCGCGTCCAAACCAACAGCCAAGGCCTCCACCTCGTTCTCAAGCACCAGCACAAGCCGCGCCGGAAAGTCTGTCTCATCAACCTTCAATGTTTGGAGTGATTTTTTGTCCAGCTCCGACGACGAGGAGTATGCACAACTTGCATCAACAGCCGGACGGCGGCCGCCTCCGACCAAGCCTCCTGCTGTGAAGGCTCCTGCTACTACAGCTCATGGTGCAACCGACAGCGACAACGAGATGTTCGATGAGTTCTTCGCAAAGGCTACATCCGCAGCTGTTGCCGCTGCTCGGTCGAAACAGCAAAGGGACAACAGCCCCGAGAGCACCATCAATGGTCGTGGTCGGCAACAGGGGAGCGGTGGCGGTAGTACCATGCACGAGAGCACAGGGAAAGGAACCAGCAGCGGTAGCAGCCCGCGAGGCACCTCCACGAAGAGGAGAAGAGAGGACGAAAACGCGGACACTATGCGGAGGAAACCTTCACCCCCTTTCCGAGCCAACTTCAGTGGCGACGGCAGCAATGGCGAAGGAGTTGCACCTGGAGTAGAGTCCCGCCGCCGCACCAAAGTACCGGGTTCCAATCACGGCCCGGACGGCGGGACGTGCAATAGTAGCGACGCTCACGGCTTTTCATCTCCGCGGGCCGCCTCGCCAGGAGGAGATGCTTGTTCCGGCGTGGGTGGTAGCAGCGGCTGCAATAGGCGTAGGAGCAGCTTTGATACTGACGACAGTTTTGGTGACGGTGGTTGCGGTGACGGTGGTAGCGGTGGTGGCGGCAACGGCAGCCGAAAACGAAAGCCGCACGGTGAAAGCAGCGGCGATGAGATGCAAGTGGGATTTGGCTTAGACAACGACGATGACTTCAATTGCGCAGCCAGGCAGCAGCGAGAGGGTGGCCAAAACCTGGTGGCGGTAGGGGGGGAGGAGGAGGAGGAGGAGGAGACTGACGATGATCTTGACGACGAAGCGGAGGGTCTGAAGCCGACGATAAGGAATCCGCCCTTCGAGGACCCTGGGAGGAGACCGCTGGTGCTAACCAATGAGGCAGGCGGCGAACGGGCAGAAGTACCCGCATCGGCGAACCGGTACCTTCAGGGCTACCAGAGAGAAGGGGTATGCATATATCCCGCTCCCTGAGTGCTCTTCGTTGGCGAACGTTTTTATGCCGAGGGTGGAGATGTTTGCAGCACTGATATTGATGTTGTTGTAGATGATGGTGTCCCTTGACGGTGGTTACTTCTTGTCCAAATTTGCTGTTGACAGCAACGCTGTTGGCAACGCTGTTGGCAACCTTTCCTTTTCAACTCGGGAGTTGGCGTTCGATGCGTCAAGCCTCGGCAGTGTGCGCAAGTATCGCATACCATACAGTCGCGCGCGTCCGGTTTGATTGATCCCAGCTATCTGCTTCGAGTGCGAGACCTTGGTAGCTTGTCCATCGTACACTCTATCTCGAACGCTCTCTTTGTCACTTCTATGCCATGTCGGCTACTCTTGGTTATTGTACCCCCGTCATGATCGAATTCTCGCTTGGTGAAGGTCGAGTTTATGTACCGGAGGGTTCGCCACACCGACGGACCGAAGGGGGTCATTCTTGCTGACGACATGGGCCTTGGGAAGACCGTGCAGACCATCGCCCTCCTCCTTGCACTCCTCAAGAAAACAGGTGCTCGGTGCTAGCCATGTCGGTTATTGTTGTCACCTTGTTCGTTCGCAGTGAAACGTGTGTTCTTGTCGTAACTATGGTGGTGGCGGCGGCGGCGGGTACCGTGGTGACGTAGGGGCCTGTGTTGGCGTGCCGTTGGTCTCTTGTCTTATTGCCGCTACAATGCCGTGGTGTACACCACCTCTGCAATGTGCCCCTACGTCTGTGTCTCCCTCATCGTCTTCATGGCTATATGTACCATGCAACCCGCGAACCACACAGGCACGAGGCGAGACCGGGTGGACATCACGAGGCGCAAAGCTTGCAAGGAGCATGTCAGCGTCGCCGGGAAGCCCGTCCTCATTGTCTGCCCGAGGTCTGTCCTGCCGAATTGGACGGATCACCTCAAGACCTGGGGACACTTCGAGACGGCTTGCATTACCTCGGGGGGCAGCACCGCTGGACCCGAGTCCCTCCAGGCGAGTTTCAACTGTTCGAAGAGGCGTTGGGCAAATTTCCTTACTTCGTGTCGGCGGTTGTGGACGAACCGTCAACCACGGCGAAAGATCCTTCTGTCATTGTGGTGGTTATGACGGCGGGGACAGGAATATCGCGTCCCTTGTTTCACGGAAACTTCTGAGGTGGTTGGGTAGTACTGTCTCGCAAAGGAGTAATGCAATAATGTGTTTTGGGGTTCATACCATGGGGTTCATACCATAATGCACCCCAAGACTACGATGACATTTTCTACAGGTCGACCCCGCGTTAAGGACGCAAATGTTTTTTCCGAAGAAAAACGTCCTTAAAGCGGGGTTGCGTCCTTGAAACTCAGGGGACGATAGCTCACCATCCCCGGGGCCAATGGAGGCATGCTATACCTCAAACTAAGCATATTTTGCTAAGGAAGGGGGT